GAAGTCGTCAAGTCTGCGCGCGAGACGATTCGTAATGACACTCGAAAACAGCACGTAGACGCGACTCAGAAGGGAAATAGGTCTGTAGTTCTTCAAGAGAGCGTTGTCACCTTTCTTGAAGAACAAGACCACCGCACTTCTGCTCCACGCCTCCGGTGTAATGCCACCATAGAGGACGGATTTAAAGAGCTTCTGAAAGACTTCAAGTACCGGTCTTCCACCCGCTTTCAGAAGCTCCGCTGTAATTCGATCCTCGCCTGAGGCCTTGCCGTTTTTAAGGCGCTGAAGAGCCATTTTAATCTCGCTCAGACTGACGTCCGGAATATCTTCGGAATAGTGTCGGATAAGACTCGTTCTTGAATCGTTACTCGCACTTGCGTGTAGCTCCAACGATGACGTGTACAGCTGCCCATAGAACCTCTCAATCTCACTCAAAATCTCAGGTGCCCCGGAAACGATGCCGCCACACTCTGTCTTCAGCTTTGACATTTGGCTCTTTCTGGCAGACAGATCTCTGGCAAAGACTTTGGAGCCTTGGTTCTGCTCGATCGCTTCTTCGATACAAGCTGTATTGAAGTTGCGTAAGTCCCGCCGCATGCATTTGGAGATCTTTCTGTTCAGTTGCTTGTATGCTGTCAAATATGTTGAAGAATGTAGCTTCATCTCCCGTCTAACAGCCATGAGATTGAGAGTGTGATCGGAGAGTTTTTGTGTTCTTCTGCTACGGGTCTTGCAGAACTTAGCTCCGAGCGCATGGACAGTTTCCACGAGCTTGTCATTCATATCGTCCACTTCATTGCAGTCTTCTAGGCACTGAAAACGGTTTTGTAACTCGAGCTGAAAGGTTTCGGGACTTTGGAACAGAGCACGAGGGGGACGGAGCGTTGACTTCATTAGACGAGACCTCTCCAACTTAACGTTTAGGTTCAGTGTGCCTCTAACCATTCGGTGATCGCTACCAGTTTTCAACCTCGCGATCACGGAGACATCACTGAACAGTTGTAGTGTGGTCGTCATAATGAAGTCAATCTCATTTTTTGTGGAACCGTCGGGGCTCGACCAGGTCCACTTCCTGTGAGGCCGCTTCTGGAAGAAAGAGTTCATCATAAAGAGTCCCTCTTTCTCCATGAAGTCGGCCAGCTGCTGGCCCCTTGGGTTCCGTTGCCCTATTCCAAATTTCCCTACTTTCAGCTCACCGTTTTCTCTTGTGCCTAGTTTTGCAATAAAGTCTCCCATTAACACCGTATATTGGGTTTTGGAGGAATGCATGGCTCTAGAGATATCCTCATACATTTCCTCCACCTCCTCATCGGGGTGTGCCGAGGTTGGTGCGTAAACCTGTATGACCTTCAGCGAATACCGTTTGGTGATTCTGAGTATAAATAAGGTACGCAACTCTCGTCGACACACTCTCAATCTTTACAACGTTGTTAACGAGAGACTTGTGGACGATAAATCCGACACCTCCTTGGGATAGATGGTCGCCCTCCCGGTGATAAAGCAAGTTGCCGGATTCGAGGATTACCGTGTCCTCCCCCTCTCTTCGGACTTCGGATAATCCTATAATATGCCAGCGTAACTTCTTCCAGCTCCACAATCTTCTCGTCAGTCCTCAGGGTGCGTGCGTTGAATGTTGCCAGGTCGAGTCGTTTTAGGTGGCAACCGAACCTCCACCGGAGATTCTTAGCACCCCCTGCCCCGCCGTTACCATGGTCGCCACCGTAGCCAAGAATAGCGGGACCGCCGGGGACTGGGGGCCGTTTCTTTGTTACTCTCAACATAGAGGGGTATTTGCCATAGTTGCCACGCTTGGCGAGCGGGTTTATTTTATTGTAAGTTTGTTGTTATCAGGAAGATGCTGCTGCCCATCTCCTGCCTGTTTCCCTTGGTCGCCTTTTACGACACCCACGGGAAGATATGGGGTAGTGGATATTCTTAACCGCCACTGCACGGCAATAATAGAACTAATATAACACTAAGAAATACTAGAACGCTAAATTTAAACCACGTAAATAATATATTTTAAAAGTCAGGAATACAATTTTTTTTTTCATAAAAATTAAATGAAACGCTCATAAGGCGTGCACTTCTGGATTTCCCAAACTATTCTTGCCTTACTTATTTATTCTTGAACTTATTTATTATCATTCATAGCTGATGACGATTTCACTTTTTCTAAATTTTCTGTCTCTATAGATAATAGCGACAAGTCTATATAGCCTTCTATCCTATTAGTATATATAGGCTTTCCTGTCCCACAGAAGTCCTTAGAATTTTTGCTTATTAAATGAAACGCTCATAAGGCGTGCACTTCTGGATTTCCCAAACTATTCTTGCCTTACTTATTTATTCTTGAACTTATTTATTATCATTCATAGCTGATGACGATTTCACTTTTTTTAAATTTTCTGTCTCTATAGATAATAGCGACAAGTCTATATAGCCTTCTATCCTATTAGTATATATAGGCTTTCCTGTCCCACAGAAGTCCTTAGAATTTTTGCTTATTAAATGAAACGCTCATAAGGCGTGCACTTCTGGATTTCCCAAACTATTCTTGCCTTACTTATTTATTCTTGAACTTATTTATTATCATTCATAGCTGATGACGATTTCACTTTTTTTAAATTTTCTGTCTCTATAGATAATAGCGACAAGTCTATATAGCCTTCTATCCTATTAGTATATATAGGCTTTCCTGTCCCACAGAAGTCCTTAGAATTTTTGCTTATTAAATGAAACGCTCATAAGGCGTGCACTTCTGGATTTCCCAAACTATTCTTGCCTTACTTATTTATTCTTGAACTTATTTATTATCATTCATAGCTGATGACGATTTCACTTTTTTTAAATTTTCTGTCTCTATAGATAATAGCGACAGGTCTATATAGCCTTCTATCCTATTAGTATATATAGGCTTTCCTGTCCCACAGAAGTCCTTAGAATTTTTGCTTATTAAATGAAACGCTCATAAGGCGTGCACTTCTGGATTTTCCAAACTATTCTTGCCTTTTGTTCTGCGAACCTATTTATTATCATTCATAGCTGATAACGATTTCACTTTTTCTAAATTTTCTGTCTCTATAGATAATAGCGACAAGTCTATATAGCCTTCTATCCTATTAGTATATATAGGCTTTTCTGTCGCATAGAAGTCCTTAGAATTTTTGCTTATACACTCTCGGGGCCCCTGTAGCGCGAGGGCCCCGTATCATTGATACGGGTGATACGGCGGTAGCTACGTCCCTGAAGGGAGGAGGAAACTGGAGAATACAGGGCTAAACATATCAGCATTATGAGGTCACTCCCGAAGTTATTGGCAACATCAAAGGACTGTTCAAGTTCTTTGAGATTTCATGGCTCGAATAATCACAATATACGCTCTGACATGGAGTTGCAGAAAATAGCTCGTCGTAAACATTAAACTATTTCATGTCAATATGAATGCGGCTGTCTTTATTCACCAAAATTTATTGGAATATTTTATTTTAAATAAATAAATAAAAGTTCTGGGGTATGTAGTTTTTATACTAAACAGAATATTTATAATATAAAGAATGCATTAATGACGTACAAGTACGAAATTAAACAATACAGTCTTTGCTCCACTTAATCTTGTAATCGGCGCCACTATGTTACATGTTTACAGACATCCTATTAATCTGGTGGAAACTCCCTGCCCAACATGCCACTTATCATACCTTTTTTCGTTCTTTATTCTCTTTTTCCATCGGGATCGGGACGGGATAAAATTCATGGGACAATAAGACTACATACATGTTTTCAACTATATAATTTATTCACATTCAATACAAAACGGGTGTGATAGTAATTTTAATATTTATCTTTAAAATCACAGTATCGCTTAACCATGACACAACAGAAGAAATATTAACAATCACCACACACTAATAAATAGATTCAATCTAATAATAAAATTAATAAATAAATTCGAAATTAAAAATAACAGACATATTTTTTTCTGTAAGTAATTATTGTTGTTTTGTCGACAATTAACACAAACTAGCTGTTCACTGATAGGCTAGCGAGGTGATTATGGCAACGAGTGAATACATTTTATAAAATATTTCATAGAAATTATATTCAAATCATAAAGCACGTTTATTTTAAAAAAAAACAACAAAATTTTCGTTGGTAATACCTAAAATTCATAAACATGTCATTCTATAAATACAATTTATGTAATAAGAAAATCTTCAACTAAGCACCATTCTATTCGATTACCGTTACGATGTGACTTAGCGTTGAATACTATACCTATACGGTTATTAAATTATTAAAATTAATTTGACTTAGGGAAGCAAAAAATCAATTATCGGCTACAGTTAAAAGTATTTGGGTAAAACATTTGTGCAAACACACAAAAATCGTGTCACCTTTTTTTTTTAAATAAAATAATGTCCCTATATCAAATCCAGTCGCTTATGTCGTTTAAAGGCACATAATAATTAATGTACATAAATACTCTAACAAAAACGTTAAATATATGCAAAACATATTTCATTTTTATATGTTTATCTTCCAATTCGGTTTAAAAAGCATAATATGCTGTCAGCCGTATATCAATAGATACAATTCTCGCTTATCTTAAGACATAATAAAATCTCACGCAGATTCTTATTCACTTGATGCAACTTTCAGACACTTCATTTACGTTACAGTTTCCGATAATATATTACGACTTTACTGAGAACTTTCATTTCAATATTAGTGCTTTGTCATTTAAGACAAAGTTGAATATTTTAGAAGCGTTTTGATTTGTGAAATATATCCCTGTTACGTCAAGGATATACATAACAAATAGATATTTAAGCAGTAAGGAATCGTTTTGGAACATTTCTCAATAGAAAATATGTTGCGGAAGCTTCTGAAGCTCTACCCTTAAGTCAATAAATTATGTGTAAGGTTTATTGAAAATGCTAACATTAATCACAAACGATTGATTGATTTAAAAATCGATGAAAATTCAATAGCGTCTCTCAGTCAATTTTCTCAGGGCATTCTGCACTGTCGCTTTCGCCTTTAGATGTGACATTGGATCTGAAATTGTATATTAATCAAGTATTTATTTATGAATATCAGTGAATTAATTATATAAGTGTCGAACTTGATAAAAATATCTATGAAGGAATTGTTACAATTTATAGCAAATGTAACCAGTGAATAACTAATGCTGTGTAAATTATAATAAATGACAAATAGGCAAATAATATAGTCATTTACATTTGGAATTATACATTAATACTTTATTTGTATTGAACTAGCTAATGATATATATATATATATTTCTATAAGTATATACATAATAAATACACTTTGTATTATTAGTGCAGAAAATTTAATTGAAAGCATGAAGCGTGCAAAGAGTAAAATCTTTAATTTTGGGAAAGTTATTATTATTATTTACGTGACATGTAAGAATTTATATTATGAAGAATACACACCTTGCTAGTAAGTCCGCAGAATCTGGTTTCCTTGTCACACTGATTGAGATCTTTCTGTTCCTTATTTTGTCTAGAATATTTTCAGGACTCGGTTCCTTTTCACTCTCTTTTAATATAATAGCAGAATTTCGAGTTCTTTTTGGCCTATATGTGGCGTAATTACCAGGAGTAAATAAAGAATTAGTTCTACTGTATCTTTGTGGTTCTCTCAAGTGACTTAGACTGTGGTCTTCGTTACTATCCGAACTGTCTAATAGAGATTTTGTTCTCGAGTACCTGTGAGTTCCAAATGTTGCAGGCTGATCATAATCTAAGTAACTTCGACCGCTTGAAAACTTTCTGAAATCATTTCGGTCCAGGGATCGGTATGTATCAATTTTGTTGTTAAGTCCCTCATATCTATTTTTGGTGCTTGGATGATCAGTTAATAAGGATCTGTAGCGGTCCGTAGATGGTGACAAGTCTGATGCAGCGGAAAATCCAGGCGATAAGTCGTACTTAATAGGAGAGTTAGGAGAAACGTCAAATTTGGACTCTGTCGGTGGTGAGTGAAGTTTAGCGATAGGGTCATACTCTGTAGCCCCTGGGCCCACTAAACTACTTTTTCGACGTTGCTTTTTTTCATTAAACCTCGAATAAAAGCTTTTTCTTCGTATTCTGTCCACTATATCTTCTTTTTCAGGACTAATGGAATCTCTGTTTCGCGTAGTATTAAGTACGGAGGTCTTTGGTAGAGTACTATCAGATATCTTATCCGGTACTTTAATATCTGCGCTGTGCTCGGATTTAATATCGGAATTAGAATAAATTGATCGGCTTCTTGAGCGACTACGAGAATATGCCTCGTTTGTTTCAACTTTAGTATTACTACTATGTCCATTTTTGTCAAAAATATCTCTCTTTTCAATATCTTTATCACCTGCAGAGACATCCATAACTTGCGGTTCTATCACAGGATTTGTAGGAACTATTTTTTTAACTCTTGGCAACCTGGAGAAGTCTAATTTCAGCGTATTGTTTGTATTTTTAGGTTCACTTTCTTTTTTAACTACCAGTTGCTCATCATTTTCTAACGAACTAACGGAAATGCTGTCACTGGTTGCTTTATTATTCTTATTCTTACGCCCTAAACCATTAAGAAGTAATGAAGTCGGTCTTTTAGGTTTTTCTTTATCACTATCTAAATTTGTTTCGGTCTGAGAATCGTGTTTATTTATTAAATTTTCGTTAAGAGATTTTTCGGCACCAGATTTCAAATTCTTTTCTTTCGGTTCAAATTTCTTGAACAGACCTAAAACCTTGGATACAGTTGTTTTATTTTGATTAATAACGTTTTTATTTTCTAAAGCAGCAACATCTGTTAAAGTAACCGCTCTTTTAATAAGATTCGACTCGGTGGGAGGATCTGTTGTTACAGGAACAGACTGTTCTCGCTGCATTCTACTTAACTTTGATTCCTTTTTCGAATCATCTGATCCAATACTGCCATGAGATGCTTTTTCAGGAGAATTAGACTTTGATGACGCTAATTTCTCTAATTTGTGACCTATAGACTGTAAAACAGATTTCTTTTTTACTATCGTCAATTCTTTAGGATTATCATCCATACTTTTCTGTTTCACTTTTTTTACAACTTTCTTTTTCTCCGTTGAATTATTGACATCAGTTGATTCCTGGTTACCTATCAAATCAGACTTTGATTTTAAAGAAACTTTTTTAACTATTTTCTTTTTAACAGTTTTTTTATTGCTCGTCTCACTGTCAACTTTTTTAGTTTCTGTCATTTTACTAGCACTGTTTCCTACTGAAGATTCATTTTTCTTAGCATTTTCTACAACCGTGCCATTTCCAATATGAACAGTATTGTCTTCTTTATTTTGAAGCACTTCATCCTCTTTTATTACTTTATATTTTTTTAATACAAGAGTCGGGGTGAGGTCTGTTCCAAGTTCAATTTCTTGTTCGGGTGATTGTTGTTTTTTAATTGTGTCTGGTTTTGATATTGAAATTGATTTTTTCTTTGGCAGTGTAATGCTAAAACTTACTTCCACATCACTTTTATTATCTTGATTAATATTTTCTTCTTTCGGTATTGAGGAATTTTTTAATTCATCCTTTTTACCGTTTCGATTTAAGTACATTTTTTCAGGTGACGGGCTACTTGTAGGATAACTCTTTGGTCGCATTATTTTCGACTCTCGTGGTAACTTCTTTTCCTCCCCTTCACGATTTTTTACTGCACAGCTTTCTTCTAGTATAACTTTATTTGATTCTTCCAACGTGTTTAAGTTTTTTACTGGATAGCTTTTTGGTCTTGACATTTTGGATTCTTTATCTTTCAACTTGTTATCATTAAGACATTTATGATTTTTAGCTTCGGTATCATTTACGTTTGATGTTTTATTTGAATCTGCCAGTGTCAATGAAGTGTCTAAATTAGTTTCCTTAATATTATCTAAAATTGGAAAGAAAGGCGTTGTCGATCTACTTCGTTCTTTGCTTAATATGTTACTTACTGGTGAAAGGCATTTACGAAGATAAGCAGATTCATCATTGTGTAATGAAGTAGAGTCATTTACGTCTACTGGGCTTTTAGGCGAATCCAGTGACTTATTTTTCTTTTCTCTAATTTCTTTAAGGACTTTTTGAGTTTCCAATTCTTTTTCTTTTTTGTGTTTAGCATAAATGTTTTCATCTGGAGAAGTATCAAAAAAGTCTGATCTAAGGAATCTTGACAAGCGTTTCCTGGGTTGATCACCTGCCAATCTCATTGAGTGACGTCTAAAACCCAGACCGGATGTATTACCTAGTGAAGATGATCCATATGCCGCTATATAGCTCGGTTCTGATAATATACTACTACAGTCAGAAGAATAAGATTCGTCTAAAGATAAATGTCGTTCGGGAATTAAATATTTACTAAGTAGAGGACGGTCCGGAGTGTTACGCATGCTATCTCGAGATTGATTTGATTCATTTTCAAGGCATTTAGATGAAAAATCGTAGCCCACAGAATCGACAATAGATGACGGAGATACAGAATCATTAGACGTTGCTGAATTTCGTTTAAGACGGGGTAGTGTGCAAAATTGTGAGACGTGCGTCGAAGGTAATTCAATAACTTCATCTTTATCGACAATTCTTTTCGCTTCGGTTAAATTTACACACAAGGGTTTGTCTATTTCTTTTTTGTAAATATCCACAGGTGTACTAGTTTTGTCGGGATCTATTTTTTCTGGAGGATTTTCTATAATAGTGTCATCGTCGATGGATTTTACAGAGCGACTACGTGAATAGCGATTTCGCTTAACATCTTCGCGGTCCGTCATATTTTCCTGGATTTGACTGTTAGCGTTTTTAGTAACGGCGGCTACGTCGTTGTTTTGGATGTTTTTCATGTGGTCGAGTTTTGGAGTGAGATCGCGCGGGTGATGTTCGTCCTCGGTGTTGGGCGTGAGTTCGTCGACGTGGGTGCCCTTGGAGGAGGCGGAGTGGCTGCGGGTTGCGGGGGGCGCGGCGGGCGCGGCGGCGTGCAGCGACAGCGTGCGGCGCAGCGAGCGCGCGGCGGCGGGCGGCAGGTGCGCCAGCAGTTGCTGCTGCAGGCGCCGCGACAGCGCCGGCGTCAGACCCGACAGCGCCTGCATCTCCCTCTCCGAGAACTCGATCGAACTCAAATCCAAATCCGACAGATCCAAACCGCGCTCGGTATCCGTTTTCTGTGCCTTTGACGTTTGGTTCTTCTTGCCGGTTTTCTTACAACTACCTGCAACGGAACCCAAAAGGACACACGGTTTCGATCATGCATTACGGTCGCACGATATGATATATTTACAGTGATTTTCTGTTACTGAATCGATTCTGCTATTTAAAATTCAAAAATGACTGATTGTGATAGTTTTGAGTAGATTTATACTTCGTAATAAATCAATGTTTTGTATATCGTATTCGTAAATAATTCACGATTAGACAAAAACAATGCAATGGGTTAAAAGTTAATTATAGAGTCTAAAGAGTACTAATTCATTTTAGGTCAAAAGAAAAGCTCACATATGCAAAACAAAACACAAAATTATGCATTAAAATGTTGCTTTATGATCAAATTTAATTTACCAGAATGCAAATTAAACTGCTTCAGCGTTCTGTATACCGCGTTATAAAGGCATCTCTATTCTGGTAAACAGCCGTAGCGCGGTGCGTAACACAAAACACATAAATGAAGAAATAAATATGGTTTAGTACCTATTCTTGTGTGGCGTTTGTGGCGGGTTTGTGGTTGGCGCTGTTGCCGCTGTGATGTGAAGATTTGGTCGGAGCATGCAGTGTAACGCGCAACCCAACTGCAACCACACCAACACAACCTCACTACCGCTGCTCAGCCTTCCCCCTCCACGCTTCCGGTCTGGCTGCAGGTAAGTTGTCCCCAGAGCCCGCGCCCCATATGTGCTCATGTCACATATGCAATACGATTCTTAACACATACAAGTGTGGCCCCAGACGTACGTACACTTATGAATACAGGTGCTACCACCATCCACTATCTACACATTTATGCCCTCACTTTGCAAACAAATTAACTGTCGGTCTGTAAATATAGTACAGTCCAAATTACAAAAAAAAAAGATGATTTTTAAACATACAAATTTCTATTGAACAACAATACTTCATTGCCCAGGACTATATAACAAATGAAATGCCTTTCTTTTCCAATTCATGCAATTTTGCTATAATAAAAAAAAAAAACTAGAATAATGGAGAGCAACGCAACATTTTCCTGCTAATGTTAGATGATAGGAGAAATAGAACACCTGCACAAAGAATGCATTTTAAAACAGTACAACACTACGATGCAGAAAAAAAAGTTAAAATATTAATATTGTTAACAAAAATCTTAAAAAAAACTAACACGTGACATAAATTATAGACTATACTATGTTAAAACAACCGATAGTCTATTAAATATGTTCGGAATGTTAGAAAAGAACAAACCGCAGGTGACAGTGGAAAACGTCACTAATATCAACGCGCTTTATATTCACGGCGGAATAAGTTTGGTATGGTATGGCATGGATTGATAGATTGATAGTTAATTCATTTGTTTAGTGGAAGCCAGCGGTCTGGTGAGTGTCGAAGGCCGTGCTCGGCACTAACTACTGCAGTGTCGTGAATGCAATGACGATTTGCCATGCTTTATGTTGATTTCTTTACGTTTTAATTCTATTAATTTTTATGTATAAAGGAATTATTTATTTAATATTGTTATAAAAATTTAAGTCATGCGGGCTATTATATTTCATTGTATATTAATACATTTTAAAAATATTGTCACCGTTTATCTAAATATATTTCTTAGGTATATACACTATGTAGTATGTTATCAGCAGTAGGTGAAACAGTAGCAATGCGTTTAAACTTTACAAGATCACCACTGTGAAGTTACGATTAGAAAGCCCACCTAAAACACCTACTACTTTTATGATATCTCAAGATTTTCTAATATTAATTTTTCCCAATGAAATTAGGCCATGGATAGTCAATATTTCTCTTACACTTTATTAATAAATTGATACATTTATCCATGTTAACAACTCATATGAAGAAGAACGTATAACCTGCCTATGGTTTTGGTAAGAATTGACTTCTGTATTCGTCTTGGATTACATTCTTTTAGCCAAGCACAATTATTTTTATTTTTATTATTGGTCACTAATGAATTAAGAGCAATAAGGCAAAAATGCAGTTTTTTTGTGATAAAAATAGATTGTCTTAAATAGTTTTAATATTTTAATTATTAGAAAGCTGTTTACAGCAATACAATTAGAGTAGTTTTGGCAGTAGATAATTTTGTCGAAGTATTTTTTTGGCACTAAATACTTTCACTTACTTTTATTAAATTGACCAAGAAAATTGAAGCTTTCGTTTATTGTAGGTGTTCAATTATATCTTTTGTTGTAAGCTAGATGAAGTTCACTACAAGTAAGGCTACTAAAATGCTATATTACACATTTTTTTCAACATTATGTTTCATTTGGCTCTGAAAAATCTGAAAGATGGAATTCAAATCCGTTCAATAACATCGTCAACTAAATCGCTGACCCATTCTGTTTTAGTGAACTCAATCTCAATCAACCTATGTGAACCATAAACAACAACCTATGTGTCTTGCTAATAAAACAACCCTAAACATTCCTTATGCAAATGCTTTCATATTGAATTTACTTTAAACGCAATAAGCTCAACTAAAATGTCGTGTTATGCAACGTAAACCTCAGCATAGTTCAAACCTCGAGTTACTAGTGGCTCATACATTGCGAGCTTCAAAGTCTGTAATTGTTCGCAATGTTAAATGATACCGGCAGACGGACGAATATGCGAGACGTAAAGTACAAGGTTGCAAGAAATAACAATAGCGAGGGACGACACCTTTATTGTAAGCAGTGTGCTAAGAAAGCATACTTCGGCTTCATCTGATGAAGATCTGAAATGAATGATGATCTCTAAATGGCAGTAAGTACAGACCATCAGAAGACTCAGAGCAGCTGGAATTGCGGCATACTTGTTTGCCAGAGGACCTTTACATATCACATGTCATCGAGTAGCTCGGTGTAATGTTGCTTGTTCTCACCGAAATTGGAATGATGATGTTTAGAGAAGAGTACTCTTTACTAACGAGTTACGGTTTAGTCTTAAGTCAGATAATGGAAGGACGGAAGTATTAATAAGACCTAGAGAACGATACTCTAACTGTAACATGGAAGAAAGCCTATGGTGGAGGTGTCCATCACTAATGGTTTGAGAAGACGTAATGTATCAGATAAATACGTATAGCTTGACGCAGCGTAGGGTGCAATATCAGGCCAGCTGTCACACTTGCATTGAACGTAACATTTCGCGCTATTTGTTTTAGTTTGACATTACTATTACTTACTAGTGGGTTCAGAATACCAAAAATAAACGAATTTATGCTCTGAATTGTTTAATTAAAACTAATTAAGAATATGGCAAATATGTTTATTTTTAAAACATTTTAAAAGATTATTTTAAAAATATTAATTTTATTACTCCATGGCTCTGTTTATTTTTAGAATATATTGTATTTAGCGTGCGGTACCACATACATACAGCCAGTATACAATCACGTCGTTCAAAATCGCTAAGCTTCTTCGACTTAATAATCGCAGTTGGCGTAAGTCGACTGCTCGTGGTCGCTTCCCGGAGCAGGGTTGACTATCGCGTTCCCGAAATAATGAATTTTCGATTGCCGGCGCATACTTCCAATTATACCCACTAAGAAAAATATCGAACCTTTTAGGGCTATCCGGTTTACTCCAACATTCCCCTCTTTCAACAGGAAAGTGCTAGAACATTCGCAATTAACAATATTTCTATAGGAGAAAAGACTATATGAATAGACATAGGGTTGCGTTTTGCTTGCAGCAATCAGTATTAAGCTAGGGTCCCACGGCCTGTTTTGTCACAGGTCAAGCTAGGGTCCCACGGCCTGTTTTGTCACAGGTCAGACCGCGCCAGGCCGGACAACAGGCCGTGGGAACCACCGCATCCGATGAGGCCTGTGGTGGCCTGTTGGCGCCCGTCCGATCCATCGGGAGTCGGTAAGATCAAAGGCGCGGCGCGACGGCGCCTGTCGCGGCCTGTACGGGCGCGTCTGCGTCGGTTGCAATTGTTCATTTCAACTGCGGTGGCGCTTGCGCGTACATGCTCATGATGGAATGGACGAACGAGCTTATATTCGAGTTTTTAACTCTTTATGAAAATGAAGCAGCGCTTTGGAATAGTTCGTCACCTCAACATAAAAACAAGAACGGCTTTTGTTGAATGATGACACCCACCCGCGTCGTTTTTTCTGCTTTCTTTTTGCTTGGTTTATCAAACGTTCACCACTGAATAACACCAACGCGGCCGCACACGCAGCCATGCGCTCCGTATCACTTCACATGTTGGAATGTCAGTCGACAGGCCGCACCAGGCCGGCACACGCCGTGGGAACGCTCAGTACGGGCCGCGACAGGCCCATACAGGCGGGGCAACGCCTGGCGCGGCCTGTCGCCTGGCAGGCCGTGGGACCCTAGCTTTAGCGTTATCTATTCTATATATATGATCGCTACTATTAAATTTAATACCAATATTTCAGGGACTTAAAATGAAACAAACATGTACATTATACTCGTTTTGATTAACTAAATACATTGTGTTAAAATTAATTGTCGGTATTTTATTTTTACCATAAGCGATAAGCCCATTGTTCTACCACGCAGTGTTGTGTTGACAAATAATATACGCAAACGCGTAGCGTCAAAGTGCAATTTCGTTTGGGTACGCGATGATAAGTATATAAAATAGAGGCTTACGTCAAAATAAAGGAGTGCAGCGTCTGTACGCCTAGTAATTTAATTTATTCTGTTATGGGAGGCACGTACGGAGCAACACATCGTTGAAACCGGTGCTTTTTACCCCATAAATTAGAGATAACTTTCTTTCTATGCATGATAACCCTCAGCCCCATACTGAAGCGAAGGTTTCGAAACATCTCATTATTCACACGACAATAGGTTTTAATCGAAGTTTTGGAAGTCGTCAGACCGCACGCTAGATCTAAACCCGATAGAGCATGTTGCGAATAAACTAAGAAGACAAGTTAAACAAAGCAATCCAGTACCAGCTAACATTAGAGACCTTAAAAGTAGGAGAGTGAAATATAATCACAAAGTTTTATTGGTGAATTAATAAAAAGTATGCCCAGCAAAAGCAAGTTTTAACATCAAAAATAATTTTCACTTAATAATAAAAAAAAGCAATTTATTTCAGACTGAGTCCATACAAGTGACATAAGAAAAAACAATTACATTATAGTAAACTAGCTAACCAGGCAGACGTTGTTCTGCCCTTTCCTGAGATGACCCTTTCTCCAATAAAAAAATCCTTAAATTCCTAATAAAAAATTTAAGGGTCATTTATCGGGATAAAAACTATCCTATCTCTCAAGTTGGACCAAACTGCACACTGAAGATTTAATATCATCTAATTTAATTTCATCTTATTCAATATCATTAAATTCAATATAACTTAATTCGATTGTTTAACATAAAAAACGACTTAATATGAATTACTTGACTAATATTATTCTACAATTTTATTCAGATAATTATTAAATTTCAGATGCCAAAAACATTAGAAAAAATGCTGCAATTTAAACAAATTTAAATTTTCAGTACGAAAGTTCAAAAGTGATCATTTTCCTTAAAACTTGTTTTTTGTTTCAAATTTTGGCTTTTTTTTCAATTAATTTTAGTTTTTTAATGTTAATTTTATTAATTAATTAACAATAAATAAACACAATATTAGCTATTTTTATGTAAATTACTAGCTGGCCAGGCAGACGTTGTTCTGCCCTTTCTGCCGACCCTTCCTATGAAAACATCCTTAAATTCGCATTAAAAAAATATTGAAGGTCACTTATCGGGATAAAAACTATCCTATCTCTCAAGTTGGACTAAACTGCACACAGTGTGCAAAATTTCATTCAAATCAGTTCAATAGTTTAGGAGTTCATCGCGGACAAACAATGTGACACGTAATTTCTATATATAAAGATTATTAGTTCTTTTTTCTCTCTTCATATTATATCCATTAGTGTAGTTGCCTTATTTTTAAATATATATTACAATATATTTATTTCAGTTATTGAATAAAACAAATTTCCGATACTTTTTTTTAAATATTTAGTTTAAAACAACTTTTAATAGTTTATTGTAACTATGTGAGATACTTATATTTTTATAAAAGTTTTTTTTATGCAATGCTCTTATTACAATGTAATTTTCAAGTAACTACGATAATGTTGTTTAAAGTGTATGAATGTACGCAATTCTCAACATTTGCGTTTTAAGCGGTAGTCGTGCGAATGCGTGAGAGCGTGCGATACTAGCGACGTTTTCCCGTGCGACACGGCTCAAGTGGCTCAAATTACGCAAGTGGCGCAAGCGGCGTAAGCTTACTCACCTCGCGGCATCGGCTGCCGGCTCTTGTTGAACATCGACTCGAAGTCCGAGTGCAAGTCGCGCGAACCCCAACCTTCTCGCCTGCGCAATAGAGTACAATTTACTGTAGTCGATACTGCTAATTAATTATGCAGTTTTAGTTATTCATACATAAATTTATTAATAATTTATTGCAGCTCATCAAAAGTTCACGGCTGAATGTCACTCCATCGATTGATTCATAAGGGAAGTATTTGACGTCTATAAAGCTGGAATGGTCATTTGAGCAAATTTTTGCTATAAATTTAGTGCTCAATTAGTGCTACAAAATTAAATTTCACGCCAAAATACATTGATCAATAATTAGAAAACTGCTAGCTAAAAGCTACCAGTATTGTACGTCCTAAAAAGATAACCGCTTAATAAGGCACGAAACAGAAGCATCAATAATTTAGTGCTCATTTAGAACTCTCGATATACGCAAAAAATTTGTTAAAATATACAATTTTTTAATATCATAAACTGCTACCAATCAGTGCTGTATATACGAAAAAAGATTTGAGAAATTATTTGTTTTTTAATTCCGTAAACTGCTACTTTGACATCTTTTGCAGAGTATGTAATGGAAAAATTGACATCATAATAAATTAGTGCTGCAAGAAAGTGCGAAAAAAATTTTTTTTACATAATATCGAAAACTGTTACTTTGACAGGTTTAGCAAAGTACGTGATCCAAAATTGACATCCAGGTCCATTTTTTTCAGTACATACTCTGCTTAAGATGTCAAAGTAGCAGTTTACAGAGTTAAAAAACAAATAATTTCCCAAATCTTTTTTCGTTTATATACAGCACTAATTGAGCACTGGGTTATTATCATATATCATTAGGAGTTTCAGAGAGCCTATTCAAATGTGAATTTTTCATCACATACTCTGCTAAAAAAAAAAATCCAAATAGCAGTTTTCGGTAAATAAAAAAAAAACATTTTTATCGCTTTCCTTTCGCATAAGCTTGCAGCATTAATTGAGTCACTAGATGATAATAATCCACTTTGATGTCAATTTTTCCATTACATACTCTTCAAAAGATGTCAAAGTAGCAGTTTAAATATTAAAAAAAATGTATATTTTCACAAATTTTTTTGCGTATATCGAGAGCACTAAATTATTGATGCTTTTATCTGGTGTTATACTAAGCGGATGTCATTTAAGGAGGTAGAACACTGCTAGCTTAATTAAAAGCTAGCAGTTTTCTAATTTTTGATCAAGCTATTTTGGCGTGAAATTTAATTTTGCAGCACTTAATTAGTACTAAATTTTTAGCAAAAATATTAGTGATTTTGCCCAACTGACCATTCCAGCTATATAGACAGTGTGGGTGTCTTCAAGGCAAGAGTGAATAGGCTTTTGTTAAGTCTGTGCTCTTCACCATCTTAGGCTACATCACCACTTACCATCAGGTGGGATCGTAGATAAGCTCTGGCTTAGTACAATATAGCAAAGAAAATAGACATAAGTATTTGTCATAGTTTCCACGCTTGGTAGAGACGAGTTAGCAACCGCAGTTTTTTATTATTGCTATTGAATTGTTGTCAGTAAGATGCTGGTGGCGATCCCTGTTTAATTTTTCCTTTGCCACCTCTTACGACACTACGGGATGAAATGTAGTGTGGATGTCTCTTATGCCGCCGTATAATGAATATTTCTATTTTTGTATAAATTAGGAACAACGTGTTTTAATAACTAGGTGCTAGGATTTATTTTGCCTAATAAACAGCTACGGTAAATAACAATATATCCCCGTTTTATGCTGCATAGCATCAGTGCACATATTGTTGTTTTAGTTTGAAGGGCCTTTTAGACCTTAGCGACGAGGCATTGGATGCAGGGTGTGCATGAACTGAAGTGGTTACTGACTTTAAGGTAAGTAAATTGGGAAATACTAATTACGGGTTATACACAAAAAAAATAATTCGAAAATTCGTTCCATTTCCCAACTTATTAACTACTTAACTAAAAGTTTTTCTTATATCCAATATTACAAAAAATTATAGTTACTATAAAATTTATCTGATTATAATATATAATTAACAGTTATACACAAACTCACGTCTCAGACACACTTCGTTTACTTTCCACAAATTTATGAGTGCTGCATGTAAACAAATAAAAATGAATCGCATTTTAAACGATGTGGATGACAAACGCTTGGTTAGATAATTTAATATTATGAATATAATGGAAAATAATTTGAATACTTACATCAGATGTCTCCTTGGTAAGTGAGGGCTGCATGCGAAAAATTAAAGTATTTATCATTAGTTGGAATCATAGACAGAGAGTGTACTGTGCGTTCCGTATTCAGTTGTACAGTGAATACAGACCGAAAAGTGCGAGAGAGACAAAGCAAATGTGCAGCCAGTAGTGGTCTTTTTCTAGAATTCTGATTAGTCCACGTCACTGGCTTGCAGGACGTGGACCAATCAGGCTTGCAGGAAAGAGACTTTTGTGAGGCTAACGCTCAGTCCATTCTCTTTGTCTATGGTTGGAATGAACAAAATCAGTATGAAACAATTTACATGCAAACATTTTGACAAATAATCAACATGGTAATGGGTACTTTGTAACTTAAAGGAATAAATAACTAACATAGTGAGATTATCAAGACGAAATAAATAAAAAAATCGCGTTTTATTTGCAATAAAAATAAAGTTAATTGCATAATAAGCAATTAAGTTGAATTTATATCTGTAACTGGTTCATACAGTTGCACTGTTGAAAGTATCAAAGCTTTTTACCATATTATACCATAATTATATATCTGATAAATAGTTGAATGAAAGTGAACTCTTGTGAACAAGCAAATATTTACTAAAACTCAAATATGTCTACTCTGTGCGACTGTTTGACCATAGACTATTATGTGTTTGACATTGACAATGAGAACGTAAACAATGAATGATTTACTCGTATTTTATTTCATTGAATGTATTTTGTGACCCATATTATATATAAATTTTAGCTTCCTCCAAATAAACTTACACTATGCCTAATCGAACACTTCTCCGTGCGCGCAATATGGTTAAAAATAGGGTGCTTACAAAGTTTTACCTTCACATATTTATATATAAGATAATATATGAAGTAAGTATATCAGTTCAATATTTAAAAATATTAATGAATACTGTAATCTTTTAATATTTTATGTATGGAATCGTGTTAGTTAACTTTAAAATTGTTTTAGTGTAAACATCGTTGATTAATTATATGGTGATGATGTTTGGATTTTGCTTCTAAATTCTAAAGCAAGTACAAATTTAAGGCTTGTATAGCATTATGTAAAGTGACGGAAGCCACACGTTCTAAGTTTACATAATCTGTACCTATTGAAGAACGGAGACTGCAGGTTGTTAAAAAGTGAGTGCGGGTGTTGCGAAAAGCCGGGACCATCGTCGCCGTTCAGACGCTGGGTTAACGCACGAACCTGAAATAGAGGAAAATAGAATAAGCATAGAATTATTTTTTATTCAATGTGTAGTAATTCTTATTGGAAGTAATTTTTGATATAAAACGCAATTTTAATGTAGTGGCAAATATAATGCATGTTTTGAGCTGGCGGCATAAGAGAATCTATCACCCTATAATATAGGATGATAGATTCTCTTAATATAGGACCTATATCACCTCGTGTGTCGTAACACGTAAGAATAGAATAGAATAGAATAGAATATTTTTTATTCAATGTACATTTACATGTGTAATTCTTATTGAAAGTCATTTTTTACTTTACCACTGGTTCGAAAAAAACCCTCTGTCCTGGGAAGAACCAGCAAGAAACCCAGCGGGACTTTTTTTTAAAATAAATTTTACAATATAAATGATTACGAACTATTTACAAAATTTATTTTAGAAACTGCTTGGAAGCGATCACCTCATTCCCAGGGGTTATTATCAACCATGTATTCATTTATACTATAATAACCCTTTTTATACAGTTTCAGCTTAATAAAACATTTAAACTTGGTAATAGAGAGAACCTGTACACTTTCCGGGACCTTGTTGTAATAGCGTATACATTGCCCCAAGAATGAATTACTGACTCTGTGGAGTCGAGAAACTGGTATCACTAGCTTGTGTTTGTTCCTAGTGTTTACAGAATGTATATCACTTCGTTTACTAAAACTATCTTTGTTTTTGTGAACATACATTAAATTTTCGTAAATATACTGAGAGGCCAAAGTTAATATATTAATTTCTTTAAATTTATCTCTAAGAGACTCTCTCGGTATTAGATTGTAAATAGCTCTAATGGCCCTCTTCTGTAAAACAAAAATAGTTTCTGAATCAGCCGCATTTCCCCATAGCAAAATCCCATAAGGCATTATGCTATGAAAATAACTGAAATAAACTAATTTAGCTGTCTCGACACTAGTGAGACCTCTAATCTTTTTTACAGCATAGGCTGCAGAACTTAGTCTGCTTGCTAATTTGAATATATGGGGGCCCCACTGGGGCTTTGCGTCAAGAGTGATGCCAAGAAAAACAGTGGATACAACAGGGCTCAATTCCTCCCCATTTAAAAACACATTGGTATTCAGATTTTTAACATTCGTTGTTGTAAATTTAACACAATTAGTTTTATTTCCGTTCAAATGCAGATTATTAACGTTAAACCAATGTACTAATTTTGATATAGCATTATTCACTTCGTCACATTTAAATGATTGACGTTTAAGTTTAAAAATCAAGGAAGTATCATCAGCAAATAATACTATATCATGACTATCCCCTACAAGGTGAGGTAAGTCATTAATATACACCAGAAACAGGAATGGGCCGAGAATCGAGCCCTGAGGAACACCCATTAATACAGGTGACCCGGAGGAACTTTTACCATTGATAATAATCTTCTGTTTTCTATTACTTAAATATGAAATAATAAGTTTAAGCGCTGTGTTTTTGACACCATAGTACTGTAGCTTCCTGATTAATGTCTCATGGTGAACACAGTCGAAGGCCTTGGAAAGGTCACAAAATATACCCAAAGCATCCTCTGAATTCCTCTGAATCCTCTGAATGCACAAAAAATATGTTTAATAAGCTCAACTCCAGCGTCAGTTGTCGAGCGACCCCTTGTAAAACCGAATTGATTTTTATGTAGCAATTTATTAATATTAAAGAAACTTAACATCTGATCTAAAATAATTTTTTCAAAAATTTTACTTAATGTTGGTAGTACAGAAATTGGTCTAAAATTGGCGAGGTCTAATATACTACCAGATTTAAATATAGGTATGACTTTACTATGTTTCATTAAATCAGGAAACACACCAGATTCGACGCTTATATTAAATATAGTGGCTAGATAAGGTGCTAATGTATCTATTATAGATAAAATAACTTTAACGGAAATCCCCCATAAGTCTGCCGTTTTCTTAACATCAATAGTTTTAAAATATTTAACGATATCTTTTGGCAGTACCCTATGGAATTTAAAAGTATTTGAACAAGCCTTTACATTTTGTTTGAGCAATGATTCGGCGACAGTAGGAGAAGAATTTAATGATTTTATAGTCAAAAAAGGAACATCAGTAAAATGTTTCTCAAAAGCCATAGCAACTTCTTGATCAGATCGCGTTAAATTATTGTTAATATTCTTAGATTAAGAGACGGCTAAGAGAAAGGCACGGATGAACCGTGGCTTCTTATAGATGACGATATAGTCCGCTCGTAAACATGAGAATAATAACATATATGTAAAGAATACCCACTACCCCATATCGTCCCGAGGATGTAGTAAGAGTCGACAAGGGGAAACAAACCAAGAGATGGGCACCGTCTTCCTGATAACAACTCAAAATTATAAAAAACTGCGGTTGCCAACCTTTTTTTTTTATAGGAATAGGGTGACAAACGAGCACAAAGTCCACCTGATGGTAAGTGGTTACTGTGACCCATAAACATCTACATTTATCCTCGATTGCGAATCAAAATGCAGATGCGTTGTCACCCATGAGGCCTAAGTTGGAATGCCTCTGTTTCAGTAAAAAGGGTCTCCGGTTCTCTACACTTACAATACAAAACACAGCAGTGTTAAACTGCTATTTTACGCTGGTATTCTGTGAGAGCGTGGTCCTTCCCCGGTCGAGCCGACCCATACGTGCTACAATTATACTATTAATATAGCTGCAGCATGGCTCTACCACGTATAAAAACCTGCCTGCCAAGCGCGCCAACTATGGCAAGAGGCAATCTATGGGGGAGGCCTGTATTCAGCAGTGGACTTTCATAGGCTGTAATGGTAATGGTATATAAGAATAAAAGGAGAGTTGGTGGAGCAAGTGGATGAGTTTGTGTATTTGGAAGTGTTTTAGCAGGGATGGTAAATATGATAAGGATATAAAACGACAAGTGAACGCAGGAAATAGAGTAAATGGGGCTCTACACTCTATTGTGAGAAGTCAGAATGTGTCAAAAAAAAAGCGCTTATGGCAAGCCACAATGCTGTGTTAGTCTCCACCTTAATGTATTATGGTAGTGAAAGTTGGGTGTGGCAGAAGCAGCACGAGAGTAGAATAAATGCTGTAGGAATGCGTTCTTTAAGGAATATGTTAGGGCTGAATCTGAATGACAGAGTGAGAAATTGTGTAATAAGAGAAAAGAGGGGTTTGCAAGATGATGTTGTGAACAGGATTAACAAATGAATGTTTCGGTGGTTTGGTCATGTAGAAAGAATGAACGATGAAAGCGTGACAAAGCAGATTTATGTTGCAGAAGTGAACGGAAGAGTCGGGAAGGACGCCCTAGACTCCTAGACGAAAGTTTATGGACCGCATCGGCGATACATTGAAAATGGTACCCAGATTAAGAGTACCCCTTAACCGACGAGCATGTATGCGTAGGGTATATGATGTGTCAGGATCGTGCCAAATGGAAGTTCGTAGTCTCTTTGGGTGACAGGCGTGAGCGTCTATGTATGTATGTATGTATATGTATCTGTTATGAGTAATATATTATGTTAGATTATGTAATTATTGGCTTTCTTTGCAGCTCTACCCTCATCTCTCACTCAACTGCTGAACTGAGAATACCATTTTGGCATCAAGTTCGCCATTTTAACAAAATATTTTCGTGCAATAAAGAATTTAACATGTTCAATACTTGACATAACATACCCAGACCGGCGATGATCTGCAATCAATAATCTTCCTGAGTGTGCTTTTGAGCAATTTAAAATGTACAGCGTGATATACAGCAAAACCTACCTACTGTAGAAGAGGCTCACGTTCAACAGTGGACCGGCTGACGTTACGGCTTGAAAAATTAAGGATCTGAAGGAACTTTGGTACAAATCCTTTACTGAATTTCAAAGTAAAATTACTTAACTAAGGTTTCTTATTAACTAAAACGATTAAGAGGACATTCGGGTGGCGTTTAGACCATACAAGCATATTATCCCGTTTACTCCATAGAATATGACAATATACCATTTTTTTACGGTACATCTTATATCGACTATTCCCATGTTCTTATGTTATGTTTCTTTTCACAAATTAATTATTATTTTAAGAACTAGGAAGCATAATTTACTAAAAACTGCTAAAAACAAATGTAACGAATATAAAAAATAAAGAGAGTACCACAATCCTTCTTGTAATGTACGTATAAACGGTTTAGTTTTAGAGGAGAATCCTAAAAAAGCTTTCAAATTCTTAAAATTTCTTGCAGCCCGAATGTCCTCAAGATTTTAGTACCATAGTGTACTGAATGATTCACTGAACAGTACGTTCAGTGAGTGCCATTTATTATTTTATCAACATCAATATCAATAACAATAGTCATTGAAATTTTATCCCAAACTTTAAGCATCTCGCACTAACTACAAAAAGTAGTTTATGGAGACGGCTAAGGGAATTCTTAGGTGACAAAGACTCTTCATTAAACCGTCAACAAACTACGTTTTGTAATAGCCGCATGTATGCTATTTATAATTTATTAACTTTTTCTTTTTACAACAGAAATAAGGAGAACATAAAAAAAGAACAGGATAGTACCATCAAAACTCTTCTGTTACGTTCTGAGGGTTCTGGTCCAGTAACTTATAGTTAAACAATTTTTTTAATACAGTTGCTCCAAAAGTGGCGTATTGCAGTGGCGTATAGCGTTCGGGATGTGGGCTATTACATACTCGAGCTTTTTCTGTACCTTTTCCGAACTCGTGCGTTCTCTTTCCCAACTGTCAAAATAATGTCTATTAAAAAGAAAAAACCAACCACGAAGTTTTTACTAAAAAAAATTTATAGAAGTTTTTATGATTCATGCAAATATTTCTAAAAAGAAGCTATTAATTTGTTTCAATATCAGATTTAATGATTTGATTCAATGAGTTAGGTTAGGTTTCATTTCATTTCATCTCATTAAATTTCATTTTAATTTCATATCAATTAAAAAAATTCTACTGAAGACTTGGCTGTATGGGCATAGTTCCCTTTGCCTACCCAGAATGGGCGAAGAAAACAAAAAAATCTCTGCTTATATTATTTTACGGTTGTTGATGCACAAAATGGGTAATTTCGACGATATTTTATTTGAATTAACACCACCGGAACTCAGTATAATTGCACAAAATGCTTCCGAGAACATTTTACCGGAAAAGTTAAAAAGTCGCTACATATCTATAATTCTACATACGACGAATTTATTGCGTGAAGAGAAGTTGTTTAGTTAGTTGAGTTTATTGTGTTTTTATTATTTTATTAAATTGCTTCATTTTTTCGCAACTGTATTAAAAATAGTTGTTCAGTACACGTGCGGAACCGTCATTGCAACTTGTTCCAACTGTCAACCCTCACCTTCGGCTGTGCCTCGGCTCGGGTAGACATTTGTCGGCACTCTTTGCAATGACAAGCTTTCAGCACTCGTAATGAAATATACTATTTTTTTTTTCATTAAAATAATGACTCATGAATGAATGCTTACCCTTTGTAACAGGCAGCAAACATAAGAAAACTTACCCTGTGCAAGAGCGTGGAGAACAAATTATCTGCGGTGAGAAGGTGGAAGCCCTCATCTTCTTCGTCTTCTTCCCCTGAGCTTACGGACTCTGCGCGGGCTGCTCGGCTCGACCTTCATAAAATTTGCAAAACATAAGAACAAGCATTGTCAAACAATTTAATTCTTGCGGTGTTCTTATTTACAGGTAAAAATAATCAATCACCTAATTTCGTCTCGTGGGTATCATAGGAAACTAAGTAAATGCCTAAAAGGTCTTGTGGTCTTTGACAATAAATATAATATAATAATAACATTCATCGTTTAACATATTGTATATAAAATGCCAGATATAAAATATTGAAACCGACGACTTTTGTGAGGTCTGTGTATTGCGATTACGAATCCGCCTTCCGTTTTGATAACAGTAACACTTTCCAGCTAAGAAAAATATCCACGTCCAGTAGTGAACAGAACTATGTACGGATTAATTGGGGAAGAAGTTGGGTTGTTATTATATAAATAACTAGCGATCCATCCAGGCTTTACACGGGTGATTTATATGATATATGATCTCGACAACAGCGCCACCTACCGGGTCCAACTAAGCTATAGCTAAGAATCACACAAAAATTATTAGTTTAGGTGGAGATGAATTGCCAACACATGCACATCAGAATTTTATAAATATACATTTTTTTTTATAAAATAAGGATGACAAACGACCACACAGTCCACCTGATGGTAAGTGGTTGCTGTGGCCCATAGACATCTACATCTATCTTCGTTTGCGAATTAAAATGCAGGTGCGTTGTCAGCCGTGAGGACTAATATAGAATGACTCCTTTTCAGTAAAAAGGGTCTCCGGCTCTCTACACTCACCATACGAAACACAGCAGCATTAAGCTGCTATTTTACGCTGGTATTCTGTGAGAGCGTGGTCCTTTCCCGGTCGAGCCGACCCATTCGTGCTTTAACTATACTATTAATATAGCTGCATCATGGCTCTACCACGTATAAAAATACATACATACATGTTATCTACAGGCCTATATTTTTTAGAAAAGTGGCCAATTACTTCGACTTTACTTGCTATAATGGAACAACAGGTTGAAACAGAGAATTGTCACCAGGTGATTGTTACGTAACTGATAAAGATAAGTTATAGCCCTTATAGTAGTAATTCAAACTGATATTGCTACTATAACTGAAAAAAAAAACCTTTTCTCATATCTTTGCTTCATAATTCTTTTTAGTATTTGAACAAATATGTCAGTTTAATTTCTTCAGTTACCGAATAATTAGCTGGTGACATTTTTCTGTGTCAATTAAAAATTAATTACTTGTATTTTTTTTTGTAAATATTCTTAAATCACTAATATATGAAAACACCTAATTAATTAATTAAATTATTATATAAAATTAAGTAATTCAAACATATAAATAGCAAAAGAATATTTATTAATTAGTACTACCGAAATATCATACCACAGTAATATCTATATTTACCTCAGCCTATGCATATGAGTGTCGTCTTCTTCTTCAGATTCACCTCCACTGACAAGACTACTGTAACATAAATAAAATATCATTTTTGGGAGATGAAGTGATTAAGTCAACAAGAGGGAATAGGTGTTCTCCAAAAGCGTTGTCAAGACATAAATATTTACAAATTATTTATTGATTATAATATATGATAGGCGCCATAAAAGAGTAGAATCTACCACATGTAAGGCTTCCTTTCTGTCTAATGACACCTAGATAATTTGACGTAGTGTCCACCCTCTTATTTATTTCTACCGCCAAGCAACAGTGCATAACACTGCTGTAATCCGGTTTGAAGCGCGCGGGAGCCAGTATAATTGCAGGCTCTGAGGCATTAATTTCCAAAAGTGACAACGCATCTGTAGTCCCCATTCCATCAATTTGTTGCAATAGCCATTTAGGTCGATTGTTAGTTTGTTTCCATTCTATAAAATAATAATTTTCACTGCACCATTTATGCATTTATTTATTATAGTCTACCAATTGTAAGTTAGTATACATGAATATGATGGTATTGCGCTATCTTAGTTTTTTGTCAAACTCAAGCTACGATTGTATTGACTTGGCAGTTTTTAGATTGGATTATGATTCACATCTCTAGTTATTAAAAAAGATGACCGCCAGCAAGCATAGTATGTAACTGCGCAACTTTTATAACTTTATTAACAAAAAACTATATTAAGTGAGATTTTTTAAGTTAATGTTAAACTAATAGTCGATAATAGAATAGAAAAATTAATAAAAAGAAATTTAATGTTATTTTTCGCAATTAAAAATTTAGTCGTATCTTGCAACGCACGCCAGTTACATTCTAGTGACCTGTCATTCTGCACCATGTTACAACGCAAAGACTATAGTGATCGTGAGGTCCCAGATTCGAATCCCAGGTCGGGCTTAAAAATTAGTTATTTAGTTATCTGTCAAGAAATTTTCAGTAGCAGCATGAAACAGAAATAGAAACTTTTTTATTCAATATAGATTATAAATAATACTTATTGAAAGTCACTCTTTTGTATAATTACCACTGGTTCGAAACAAAAACCTCTGTCCTGGGAAGAACCAGCAAGAAACCCAGCGGGACTTTTTTTAAATAACAGCTTACAATCATGTATGTTACACAAATTAACAACACAACAAATTAGAAATAGCTTGGTAGCGATCACCTCATTTCCAGGGGTTATTATCATCTATAAATTCATTAATATTATAACAACCCTTTTTATACAAACTTAGTTTAATAAAGTTTTTGAACTATGAGCAGGTCAAATTTTGTATATTTTCTGGAATTTTGTTGTAAAAGCGTATACATCGCTCCAAGAATGAATTACTGACTCGATGGAGTCAAGTAACTGGTACTACTAGCTTGTGTCTGTTCCTAGTATTTTTAGAATGAATATCACTTATTTTTGTAAAACTACTTTTATTTTTGTGTACGTACATTACATTTTCATAAATGTATTGAGAGGCCAAAGTTAATATATTAATTTGCTTAAATTTTTGTCGCAGCGACTCTTTCAGTCTTATTCCAAAAAAATGTTTTAGTACTGGGTTAAGTTTAGGAGTAAGAAGTCCAGGTTTGTTACAATATTCTAGTTAATACCAGCACTAAAACGTGTGCTTATTACAAAACGCAGACTACCCGAGGACCAGTTAATACCAACGTTAGTATTATATTAAATATCATTCACAGATAAAAAACAAAAAATGACACTCTATCATTCGTTCATACAGGTTTCATTCAATGCAACGTTCGGTTTCATAAAATATTAATATTATTTTCACACTTAATTATGCTTAAATAATTATCCATCAATACAAAAACATATCATACATTGTTATTTGTTTACGTTAAAATCTATTGAACAAGCACGACATATACTTTTGACGCGCTTTTGATTATATCAAGTTGTTTTCAGTTTAACAACTCTAGCGTGAAATGTAGTGAATTACAGAGGTAACGCGAGCGCGGGATTCGAGACGTTCAAAATAGTTTATATTGCAGCCTTATAATAAGTAAATTAAATTATTAATAATTAATTAATTAAAAGTACTTGCTATTACAGTTATATTTATATAATAATGGAACAAAAGAAAAAACGGGGTGAAAATTGGAGTTCTGAAGAAAAAGTTAGTGAAATATCGAAATTTATTTGTCAGTACGTACCAATACTCTTATCCTCCTATTATCCTTATTTCAACTAAAAGGAATGTTCTTATTATTATAGGAAATATTACGTTCACTTATTTCACAATCAGCACATATAATAGAGAATAAGTCGACAAAAACATCGGTAAATATTCAAAAAATAAAAGAGTGGAAGAATATAACTAATAAGTAAGTACTTATCGCATTTGTTATGTGTACAAACAACACGGTACGGTATTGTTTACGTGATTTCGTATTTTTTTTTAGATTTAATGAGATAACAGGTAAACGCCGATCAGATGGTGAATTGAAATTATCTTGGAAAAGAATGAAGTTGTGTGCTAAATCAAACTTATACACATATAGGAGGGAACAATCAAAGACCGGGGGTGGCGGAAAACCTCCATCACCTTCTCTTGAGGACTTGGAAATAATGTCCATTGCCCCTCACGACTTTATCGTTGAAGTTAATAATTATGATAGTGATGCAGTGGTAAATAAAATTACTTACATGTCTTACAAACGAACTTTATTTTCCATTACTTTAGTACCTAGGTAGTGCTCTGAAATCTACTCTTAAAGCATACAATTTACAATCCAAAATTATTTTCCAAATATTCAAAATTTAATATACTTAGTAACAATTTAACATAAATTTCTTTATAATTAATTATATTCAAAATTGAAATGTCACAAATTAATATATAGTGGTCTATATAATATCATAACACACATGTTACTAGATTATCTACACAGTCCGATTATAATTTTCTATTTTTGTCTATTAGGTATTATAATTAATAATTTATTAAATTACCTTTTGTCTTGGATCATAATAATATTTCTACAACATAGAAAATACCTGATTCAATAAAGGGCAAAATAGAGGTGACAGGTGACAGGAAAACATGTTAATAAATGTTTTAATGATTTATTTTAGGATCCAGTGACTGTGGCTACAACATCAAAAGAAGTTGCTGACCCTAAGCCTCGTCTTAATTTTGAAAAAACAGACACAGCTATAGTTAAAAATGTAGAAAATCCAGAACCCAATGTTGTATATGTGCAAGGTAAATAATACTGATTGAATATTTATTAAAAAGCAAAATATATTATTATTATAGTTACAATCATAGGCATACAAGTTTGTAAATATTATAAATGTTAATTTTCTAAAACTGTTATATTTATATTAATTTTTAGAGATAGATCCAACTACAGATACAGAAGAAAGTGCGAAAATGGTGAAAATAACCAACAATAAAGATATTATTACTAGGGGTATAACAAAAATTAAAAACAGGAAAAATAGCTTGCAAAATAGGTATGTTGAAAAAATTACATAGTCTGATACATTACATACTTTTTAAAATGTGAAAATTAGTATTTAAACACTGAAAATTGTTTCATGTTTTCAAATATTAAAAGCAAAGTTTAATATGAATTGATTTAAAAATAATTAAAAAATATTTCTTTAATTGGTGTACAAGGTTAAGTTGAGGGAGGGTGGGAGGTGCTTCTTCATACTAGGTAAGACACATCATTTTATTTTATAACGCGGATATTTGCGAAGTAAATTTTTGTAAAAGCTTTTATTAATTAATGGATTTCCGCAAAGTAACGCCTGATTCTATTAATTAGATACATGTTTGTAAATATCCTCATATATGAAACTATTATTTTCAGGTACTTAATTGCTGCAAATATTTGTACATCTTTTATTAATAATTAAAATAAATAATTATAATTAATATGCATTTTATTTACATAACAATGAAATATAATATACAATAGTAAAAAACTATAATAAAAAAAACTAAACCTATTTACTTAGTTATCATACAGTCCTACTCCCCGTGGACCCTTGCACCTCTGGAAAGGAAATCCGGCTGTGAATGTAGAGGAGGGACGATATTTATTAAAAAATCTAAACATATCTCTACAGCACTTAAATCTTTATATAATATAGCTTCATATTGATGTGGAATGTGCTGTACCCCGCATCTTTCCCTGAAACACAATCATTTATAGCCTAAATAAAAGCATTTTGCTCAATAAATGAAATATTATCACAATACTCCCCTGAATTTATTTCATATTGGTGAATATGTAGTCGTTATTCTTTGACAGCTGACAACGGCTCTGCAGAAATATGTTCCTTTATAAATGGGTATTATGTCTGAAATCAAAAAGAAATATTATTATAATTGTCTTATACATTTATTGACCTTTAATGTAATTTTATAGCCAAAATTGGCCTCTGAATAACAAAATAAAATAAATTATATATACATAGCTTTAGACAATTGAAAAAAATTTGACAATTTTATAAATATAATTATAAATTTTAATTATAAATACTTATATAAATATGTAAAAAAAAATGTTTACCTACTGAAAATGAGTTTCAATAAACTGTCTTCTTCTAATATTTCCCCTTATTGATGGTGTAATATATCTTTGTACTATAGGTTCAGATGAATATTGTTCAATGCTATCTCTCTCACCAGAAAACACATCTTCTCTCATGTCGATGGCCATATTGTGTAGTACAGCACATGCAACAATTGTTTTTTTGCTGTTTCAATATCTCCAAACATACCTCTTAATAGGCAACGAAACCGTTGCTTCCACAAACCAAAACATCTTTCCACTGTGTTCCTGGTACGGATATGGCTCCTATTATATCTTTCTTCTTGTGGTGTTGTGGGGTTCAGCAGCGGTGTAAATAGGTAAGGAGTACAAGGATAGCCACTGTCACCAAGTAATATTCCAGAGAATGCACCAGCCTCAAACCTCTGTTTTAGTCTACATTCTCGGAATATTCTGGAGTCATGTACACTACCACGCCACCTGGTAACAATGTCCATGATTTTCAGGTCAGCATCACAAACCACCTGTAAAATAAGAGCTCATTAGTACTTTATGTTTTTCTGGTTTATTTTAATATATATTTATTACCATAAGATAGTCAAACAAATTATTTTCTATTATGATAAAGTTATTAAGAGACAATCACAGCTATTTAAAATATTTGTATATTACCTGTACATTAATTGAAGAAAATCCTTTTCTATTAATATATAACTGACCCCCATCAGCATTCACTTTCTTTACTCGTATGTGAGTACAGTCAATTGCGCCAATTACTGTAGGAAAATTAGCAATACTGCGAAATTTCCTAATGGTTTCCTGTTGTTCATTTAAAGTAGTAGGCATTTTAATAAATTCTCGGGAATTCCGTGACAAAATTTCCGCTACTTTTTTACATGTCCTACTGACTACTGGTTGAGACACACTATGTAAACCAGCTGTATCGTCTTGAATCTACGAATAAAACAATAATATGTATTATTTGGCTTTTTATCTAGCGTAATGTTAGGTACATTGACCCCACCAAGATTATAAACAGCACTTACTTCATGGCGAGCCCAGTTGCGTAATGCACAAACCACTTGAATTTCAGGACTCAATGGGCATCCTCGAGGGTCGTGCACTAAATCCTCACGTAAGATACCCACTATTTTTTCTCCGAAACGTTTTGAGAACCTATACTTATACCTAAAATCTTCGTCACTCAATTCAAACGGATTCACACGATGTCGATGTCTATCAGGTCGCCGAGTGGTCTCCAGCATGTCCAAATCTTCTAAATCCATCAAGTCAATCATGTTAATATCCATTTTTAACGATTTTAATAACACCAAATGAAAACAACGCTCACCTCAAATTAAGAAGTACCGAAATTGAGGTTAGTATAGAGTACCACAAACTATATAGAAAGGTTAGTACCATAGCTAAACTAGGGGTCTCGAAAGATTAACTTTAATACCATAGATAATCCTTGAACCAGAGATAATCTTCGTTTTGTAATAACGTTTTTCTTAGTTTATGGTTTAAATATATTACTAACTCCAGTACTATATTAAGTCCGTGTTTTGGAATAAGGCGGTTTAGGCTTTAAATCATAAATTGCTCTTATGGCCCTCTTCTGTAAAACAAATATAATTTCAGTGTCAGCTGCGTGTCCCCATAGCAAAATACCATACGACATTATGCTATGGAAATAGCTAAAGTAAACTAGTCTAGCTGTTTCAACACTAGTTAGACTTCTAATCTTTTTACGGCATATGCTGCAGAACTAAGTCTGCTTGCTAGTTTTGATATATGGGGGCTCCATTGAAGCTTCGCGTCTAGTGTGATTCCAAGAAAAATGGTGTTACCTACAAGACTCAGTTTCTACCCATTTAAAATTACATTAGTATATAATTGTTTGACATTTGGAGTCATAAATTTCATACATTTCGTTTTAGTGCCATTTAAATGCAAATTATTAACATTGAACCAATTTACTAATTTAGTTATAGCATTATTTACTTCGTCATATTTTAGCAATTGTCGACTTAATTTGAAAATTAAAGAAGTGTCATCTGCAAATAATACTATATCATGGTTATCTCCTATTATGTAAGGTAAGTCATTAATGTATACAAGAAACAGAAAGGGGCCGAGAATTGAGCTTTGAGGCACGCCCATTTGTACCATCGACCCGGAAGAACTCATACTATTAATGACAACTTTTTGCGTTCTCTTACTTAAATATGAAATAATTAATTTAAGAGCATCACTTCTTACACCGTAGTGTTGAAGTTTCCTGATTAATGTTTCATGGTGAACACAATCGAAGGCTTTGGATAGGTCACAAAATATACCCAAAGCATCCTGTGAATTCTCCCATGCATTAAATATATATTAAATCAGCTCAACACCGGCATCAGTTGTCAAGCGACCCCTTGTGAAACCAAATTGATTTTTATGAAGTAAATTATTTATATTAAAGAAATTTAACATTTGATCAAGAATAATTTTTTCAAAAATCTTACTAAGTGTTGGTAGTACAGAAATAGGTCTAAAATTGGCGGGGTCTAATGTACTACCAGATTTAAATAAAGGTATTACTTTACTATACTTCATTAAATCAGGAAACACACCAGATTCGATACTAGTATTAAAAATAATAGCTAAATGAGGCGCGATTGTATCTATTATAGACGCAATAACTTTAACGGAAATCCCCCACAGATCCGCAGTTTTCTTAACATCAATAGTTTTAAAATATTATACAATATCTTTTGATGATACTTTATGAAATGCAAAATTCTTTGTACATTTTGTTTAAGTAATGATTCGGCGACCGCAGGAGAAGAATTCAGTGACTTAGTGGTTAATATCGGAATATCAGTAAACTATTTCTCAAAAACCATTGCAACGTCCTGATCTGATTCGGTTAATTTGTTACTAACACTTAACTGGTAGTTTGAATTGCGAGAGTTGATCTTACCAGTTTCGCTATTAATTATACTCCATGTCATTTTAATTTTATTAGAAGCCGTCTTAATTTTGTTGCTCAAATGCAAAGACTTGGCTGTGGAGCACACTCTTTTAAATATTTTTTCACATATTCCCTAAAGTCGACGCTATGATTATATGACCTTTCATGGTAAAGATCATATAACCTATGTCTGCTCTTATGGACTCCTACTGTCGCCCATTCATTAAATGACTTTCGACTGTTCAAGGAGAATGTTTTAGAAATAAAAGTATTATTAAATTCATTGCAAATAAGCTTAAAATGGAATGGACATGGAATCAGCAAGCTGGCATTGTTTTACCCTAGTGCCTTGAAAAGCACGAAAAGCCGTTAGTTCTGGCGTCTGATCTCTCTCCGGTCATGTCGATTTACCGTCCTATTTGACTATGAGAGTGAGGGAAAAGAGAGTGCACCTGGGCTTGTGCATACTCTCGGACATCCTGTCCTGCGTAGATGGCTAGTATATGTTAAGGATAGGTGTCGTGACCAAAATTCGGCCTGGAGGACATTATTATTATTACTACTATAAAATTTCTATGTTTGTATATTAAGCAAGCGGTATATTCACTTTCAACTGCATATTAATAAATAAAACAGACACATATATAAACAAAATATAAAGTCAATGTTTCTTTTATTGACATACACTAGTGTCAAACACACTATTAAAAAAGGAAAAATTTAAAAAGTCACAAAATTACAACTCATTTAGTCAATCTGATAAAAATTAATTGTTGTCAACATTTTAAAATATTTTGGCGACAATATCTACTCTGTGCTACTGCTTGACCACAGAATATTAAATGTTTGACAATGGTCTCAGAGCAATAACTTATATTTATACTTGAACTTACTATGAGACATTAGTATTATAAACGTTAACAAACGATATAATTTATCTACGTAACAATTACTCGGTGTTTGACATAGGCAGAATGAACTTAAATTATGTATGTTTATATTAACTTCAGTATTTCAACATATTATATTATTATATTTTAGATTTCTGCATTCCTTCTTTATATAAACTCTAAGTATGCCAAATCTCCCACTGTCCTGTACGCGCAATATGATTAGTAATTAAAAATTAAAAATTTTGTACAGTCGACTTCAATATAAGTTATTAAGAATAACTCAAATACTATTGGTCTGACCTTGATCAAATTCATATGGGACCACACGAGAAGTATCAGCTTTCATATAAAAAAAGAATCATCGAAATCGGTCCACCCAGTAAAAAGTTATGAGGTAACACACATAAAAAAAACATACGCGTCGAATTAAGTACCGTCTCCTTTTTGGAAGTCCGCAGAAAAGGGTAAAAATTTCCCTTCACGTATTACACACGCACTTTTTGATTGTATTGGCTTGGTTGAATTTTCAAGTAAATAAATAAACTTAAAAGAAAGTATAAAAAAAATGTTTTATTTTTTTTCGAATTTAATTAATATGAAATTCTGGGTGATTATTGAAAAATCTTTAAAATCCGTATATCTCAAGAGCTGTTCATTTTCGGCCATACATATGGGGGGTCGAATTTGTAGTATTTTAAGTCCCCTGTCACGGGCTGGCAGGACGTTGTCGAGTTGGCAGTGAGCCAGTATAGAAGATAGTGCGTGAGACCTGATGCGGCGCGGCTTGTGGGCGCGCGCCAGGCCGGCGGGCGCGCGGCGCTCGGGCTCGAGGCTGCGCTGGCGCGGCGTCACGTAGCCCTTGCCCTCCACGGCGATCGGGATGATGAACTCGCGCGCCGACTTCTTGATCGGCTCGCCTCCGCTGCTGCTCGTTTCGCTCGTCGGAGATTCCGCAGACGCCAGCCGTCTGCGAACCGACGACCAATGTACATCATGTTTTTTTTGAAGCGCTCTCATTAAAAGATAAGTATGAAATTAAGAACTCACTATATATTGTTTCTATCCTATCGATGATAATGTGATGATGATGATGTTGACAACTTAAATATGTATAAAGGTTGTCATCATCCACCGACCTCTCTACGATGTCAAGTATTTAAAAAATAAGTGTTTAAGTACAACTAGTTTAACCACGTGATTTATAATACTAATAAATATGCGCATCAATAGTAAATTTGCTAAGTGAAAATTTACTATTGATCATCATCATCATCATCATCATTACAGCCTCTCATAAGTCCACTGCTGAACATAAGCCTCCCCCAAAGGGGGGTATTTGCCATAGTTGCCACGCTTGGCAAGCGGGTTGGCAACCGCAGTTTTTTTATTGTAAGTTTGTTGTTATCAGGAAGATGCTGCTGCCCATCTCCTGCCTGTTTCCCTTTGTCGCCTTTTACGACACCCACGGGAAGATATGGGGTAGTGGATATTCTTAATAACTCTAGGAAGGCAACAGCCTCTTATCATACATTTACAATACACGCCAAAAATTAGAAAATTTGTATTGTGAATGGTGGTGAATATTCCGTAGTTTCGGGGTAGTGATGGTGTTGAGTGTCAATGTGGTCAAATGTGTCAATTTTAACTGTTAGATACGGATCTCATAATATAGAAATCGACGTTGTGCTGGAAATAATGTGGCAAACATTGGTTCATACCTAAGCGGTGTATGCGTGCGCGATGCGGGTGCCGGGGCGGCGGGAGAGGCGGGACCGGGGCTCGGCCGCTGCGCCGCATCCTCCGCCGCCATATGGATGGGGATGATGCGCTCCACCGACACGCCCCTAAACAATAAAGTAACACATCATTTAACAACCTGTCAAACTCTCGAGTAAGCCACGCAGGCTCTTATTTTTAAAGTGGATCATGATATTTGACCATCCAAATTGATCTAATGTAGTTTCATTTATTTTAAATTATTGAATATTCTTTTTCCCTTGATTTTCTTTTCTTTCCACAATTCACACATGCAATCGTATCTCTACCTGCTTGTAAAAACGATTAAAAGAATACTGTAATGAAAGTCGGTAATCATATCCGTTACAGCTTATTAAAGTCTACTGCTTAGGGCCACATAGGCCTCCTAATTGTACAGTCTGTAAGCCATATTATAGGCTTATGAAAAAACTAAGATCTGACAGTCGTGCTGTCAATCAATAAAAGGTATGAATTTCATTTGTGTTTTAGTGGTAAAATCTCCATAAATACACAATACCCATAGATTGATTTACATGAAGGACATTTGTTCCCACACTTGGCAAGCGGGTTTTTTTATTTTTTATTGTTATTAGGGAGACGATGCAGCCCATCTCCTTATCGTAATCATATATATAAATTGAGATAAACACGTAAGTTATATAAAAAGAAAATAAAAAATATATAGAAATAAGGAAAACAGATCTGCACGTGTACATAAATCTATTACATCTGCGCCTCTTTCAACTCCCTGTTATCAGGCGTCAATGCGTACCTGTTCCGGTGATCGTCGACGCGGTGCTGCGCCTCGGTGCGGTAGAGGCGTGCGTGCGAGCGTACCTGTTCCGGTGATCGTCGACGCGGTGCTGCGCCTCGGTGCGGTAGAGGCGTGCGTGCGAGCGTACCTGTTCCGGTGATCGTCGACGCGGTGCTGCGCCTCGGTGCGGTAGAGGCGTGCGTGCGAGCGTACCTGTTCCGGTGATCGTCGACGCGGTGCTGCGCCTCGGTGCGGTAGAGGCGTGCGTGCGAGCGTACCTGTGCCGGTGATCGTCGACGCGGTGCTGCGCCTCGGTGCGGTAGAGGCGTGCGTGCGAGCGTACCTGTTCCGGTGATCATCGACGCGGTGCTGCGCCTCGGTGCGGTAGAGGCGTGCGTGCGAGCGTACCTGTTCCGGTGATCGTCGACGCGGTGCTGCGCCTCGGTGCGGTAGAGGCGTGCGTGCGAGCGTACCTGTGCCGGTGATCGTCGACGCGGTGCTGCGCCTCGGTGCGGTAGAGGCGTGCGTGCGAGCGTACCTGTTCCGGTGATCGTCGACGCGGTGCTGCGCCTCGGTGCGGTAGAGGCGTGCGTGCGAGCGTACCTGTGCCGGTGATCGTCGACGCGGTGCTGCGCCTCGGTGCGGTAGAGGCGTGCGTGCGAGCGTACCTGTGCCGGTGATCGTCGACGCGGTGCTGCGCCTCGGTGCGGTAGAGACGTGCGTGCGAGCGTACCTGTGCCGGTGATCGTCGACGCGGTGCTGCGCCTCGGTGCGGTAGAGGCGTGCGTGCGAGCGTACCTGTTCCGGTGATCGTCGACGCGGTGCTGCGCCTCGGTGCGGTAGAGGCGTGCGTGCGAGCGTACCTGTTCCGGTGATCGTCGACGCGGTGCTGCGCCTCGGTGCGGTAGAGGCGTGCGTGCGAGCGTACCTGTGCCGGTGATCGTCGACGCGGTGCTGCGCCTCGGTGCGGTAGAGGCGTGCGTGCGAGCGTACCTGTTCCGGTGATCGTCGACGCGGTGCTGCGCCTCGGTGCGGTAGAGGCGTGCGTGCGAGCGTACCTGTGCCGGTGATCGTCGACGCGGTGCTGCGCCTCGGTGCGGTAGAGGCGTGCGTGCGAGCGTACCTGTTCCGGTGATCGTCGACGCGGTGCTGCGCCTCGGTGCGGTAGAGGCGTGCGTGCGAGCGTACCTGTTCCGGTGATCGTCGACGCGGTGCTGCGCCTCGGTGCGGTAGAGGCGTGCGTGCGAGCGTACCTGTTCCGGTGATCGTCGACGCGGTGCTGCGCCTCGGTGCGGTAGAGGCGTGCGTGCGAGCGTACCTGTTCCGGTGATCGTCGACGCGGTGCTGCGCCTCGGTGCGGTAGAGGCGTGCGTGCGAGCGTACCTGTGCCGGTGATCGTCGACGCGGTGCTGCGCCTCGGTGCGGTAGAGGCGTGCGTGCGAGCGTACCTGTGCCGGTGATCGTCGACGCGGTGCTGCGCCTCGGTGCGGTAGAGGCGTGCGTGCGAGCGTACCTGTTCCGGTGATCGTCGACGCGGTGCTGCGCCTCGGTGCGGTAGAGGCGTGCGTGCGAGCGTACCTGTTCCGGTGATCGTCGACGCGGTGCTGCGCCTCGGTGCGGTAGAGGCGTGCGTGCGAGCGTACCTGTTCCGGTGATCGTCGACGCGGTGCTGCGCCTCGGTGCGGTAGAGGCGTGCGTGCGAGCGTACCTGTTCCGGTGATCGTCGACGCGGTGCTGCGCCTCGGTGCGGTAGAGGCGTGCGTGCGAGCGTACCTGTGCCGGTGATCGTCGACGCGGTGCTGCGCCTCGGTGCGGTAGAGGCGTGCGTGCGAGCGTACCTGTGCCGGTGATCGTCGACGCGGTGCTGCGCCTCGGTGCGGTAGAGGCGTGCGTGCGAGCGTACCTGTTCCGGTGATCGTCGACGCGGTGCTGCGCCTCGGTGCGGTAGAGGCGTGCGTGCGAGCGTACCTGTTCCGGTGATCGTCGACGCGGTGCTGCGCCTCGGTGCGGTAGAGGCGTGCGTGCGAGCGTACCTGTTCCGGTGATCGTCGACGCGGTGCTGCGCCTCGGTGCGGTAGAGGCGTGCGTGCGAGCGTACCTGTTCCGGTGATCGTCGACGCGGTGCTGCGCCTCGGTGCGGTAGAGGCGTGCGTGCGAGCGTACCTGTTCCGGTGATCGTCGACGCGGTGCTGCGCCTCGGTGCGGTAGAGGCGTGCGTGCGAGCGTACCTGTTCCGGTGATCGTCGACGCGGTGCTGCGCCTCGGTGCGGTAGAGGCGTGCGTGCGAGCGTACCTGTTCCGGTGATCGTCGACGCGGTGCTGCGCCTCGGTGCGGTAGAGGCGTGCGTGCGAGCGTACCTGTTCCGGTGATCGTCGACGCGGTGCTGCGCCTCGGTGCGGTAGAGGCGTGCGTGCGAGCGTACCTGTTCCGGTGATCGTCGACGCGGTGCTGCGCCTCGGTGCGGTAGAGGCGTGCGTGCGAGCGTACCTGTTCCGGTGATCGTCGACGCGGTGCTGCGCCTCGGTCCGGTAGAGGCGCGACGAAGGCGGCGCGGAGGGCGGCGCGGCGGGCGGAGTCCCCGGCGGAGTCGACAGCGACGTTACGCCCGCCGACGAAGACCGCCCGTACGGCATCGGCGGCTTGCCTATACCAATAACGCTCATTTACTTTTTTAATCCGTATTAAAAATATGTGGTTAGCACATTGAAGTAATATGGTAGTACGAATTAGAACTGATAACAAGACTTGTTTGTTTGTAACATGTGTTAGATTCCACGGGCTCTAACTTAATTTATTTGTGCTAGGCGCTTTTCACAACGTGACACATTTGAGGGCAGACATAAGCCTGATAGATATATTCCTTCATATACACAGAGGTATTATGTAAACCAAAAGAAAAAGTGACTGCACTTCTTTGACTTCATGCAGCGCGTGACAATACTGAACCCTTCTCCCTTCTCAGCTGAACCCTTCACAGCACTGGGAAAATGCTGACACTGTTACAAACTTTGTGTGCAAAAGTCTAACTAAGAACGATTGGAGAAAAGTTAAGAAAATAATCTTACATGATTTTGAACAACATATGAACAGGCATAGGCAATACTGTTGAAAATGAATTCGTGCGGTCCCCTAAGGACCAAGTGCAGACAACAGTGATGACGATAACAAAACTAGTTTTAATTCAGATACTTCATCTGAATAAATGCAAAATGTTTTGTGGAACTATGGATCAACTTTTTAATTTTATATCCTTAAAATTACGATAATAATAGGATGGAATTCTAATGGGACTCAATCAAAATTACAGTACATAAGCAAGAAGTTATGTACTGTACGCAGTTAAAAGAATTGATATTAATTATGTTTAACAAAATCTCCATTCGATTCACACATGTTTAAAGGTCATATCGATTTATTCAATTTAATCGATAATATTAAGCACCTCACCGTTACCTTAATACGTTAATGAAGCTAAGACTGACTGATGCCAAATGTGACCTACTAAAGTTTCCTAGTATAATTGTGACATAAAATTATTAAAGCAAGAAGTTATGTACTGTACGCACTTAAAAGAATTGATATTAATTATGTTTAACAAAATCTCCATTCGATTCACACATGTTTAAAGGTCATATCGATTTATTCAATTTAATCAATAATATTAAGCACCTCACCGTTACCTTAATACGTTAATGAAGCTAAGACTGACTGATGCCAAATGTGACCTACTAAAGTTTCCTAGTATAATTGTGACATAAAATTATTATGTCACAATTAAAGTAGGGAATGTTACCATGTTGGCATTTTTAGTAACTTTCTTAAATCGGTACTGGCAACTGATCGATGACTGGATTTGTAATTCAACTAAAATATTATGATACAGTCTGTGTGAATTTTATGGTCTGATGAATCGATATTCAAAAAAAATGGTTACATGAATCTACACAACTTACACGAGTGGTATGTAGAAAATCCACATATGATGAGATAAGATAGATCACAGTATGGTTTCAAAATAAATATGTAGACCAGAATTTTAAATGAAAAATCATTGGATTTTTTGAGCTGCCGGAAGTGTTGAATGGCGAAGTTTATTTGGTTTCAAAATCATTTACCAAATTTGTTGAAAGACGTGCCACTAAGCATTTATAAAGACATGTGGTTCAAGACGACTGCCCGGCACACTATGCTCGCTAAGTTAGACAAAATCTCATTGAGAAATACCCCGGCAGATGGATAGGGTTCACCTTACTTAAATCCGCTAGATTTTTTTACTGCGGAGCGGTGAAAGAAGAAGTGTACTCAAAGTCCATCGAAAACGTTGCTGAACTGCGGCAAATAATAAAGGAAGCAGTTGAATTTGTTAATGACGGAAGATAACTCGATTTTTTTAAGAAGATGTCGAGCTTGCCATTGTTCTATATGGAAATAGGATTTCTGTCTCGCTCACACTCCTCCATTTCACTCAAACTTTTGAATTTACGGCCTTGAGGAAAGCCTTGGGTACACTAGAATCATTTACGTAATAAAAATTTGTTCAAAACTGAGTTACCAAAAAATAATGTAGCAAGTGTCATACCATTTTGGAATCCTTATCAAATGCGCCAACTTTTAAAGTTACTTACCAAACCAGCGCTTTGAATACTTAGTTGGGCTAAAAGTGACATTTTGTTCCAAGCAGAAGCAGCTGGCTTTAAATTTTTGGCAATAATTTACAGAAGCATTATTTAGGATTATATATACCGGGTGTTAGTGAAACGCTCCCGAAAACGAAGACAGACGATAGCACTAAGGATACCTTTTATGATGGGTCACAAAGAAATTCGATCCCAAAGAAAAAAAATCATCTTTCCACAACGTTTTATTAATTTTATTCACGCTCCATCATGTTAGTACAGCTAAATGAAACGATAATTTCATAAAAAAAAATCATGAAAATACTTAAACATAAAATCAGCAGTGGAATTACAATCAGCTGACTAGGAGTCAATGTACGCGCGTACGCCGAATTTGCGCGGCTCACAGCTAGCGATGGTAGAACAATACTTAATAATTTACAACACTTGTCTAAATGCCTAACTTATCTATTTAACCCACTATTTTGCCACTATGCCTGTCTCCACCTAGCCACTTTATTCACAGGTTAAATAAACCAAATACCTGGTTCGATTCCCCGCTAATAAAAATATACTTAAATATTAACAAGATTAGAGTCATGCTTTTTTATCCATCGTGTAGGTATGTTTATTATTCTGACGTATTCAGTTATATACCTATTCAGATGAGTTCAGTAGTTATTTAAAAAAAATTAGCTATGACACAGGTTACCGATCTAACTCCTACGTGGCCTTATGAGATTATCCAAGGCACATTAACATGTTGCCGTATTCACGAGCACTATAAACGTACCTACGCGTTAGGCATTTATTAAAATAAAACAAGAAAAATAAAACGTAACAGCAAGTAATAACAACAAGAATGTAATAAACAAAATGATTGAACTGCCGTTCACGCGCACGTGATAGTCGACACGGAACTGTCTCAAAAACTAAAAAAATCAATCCCGCGAAAAGATGATTTTTTTTCTCGGGGTGGAATTTCGTTGTGACCCGTCATCAAAGGTATCCTTAGTACTATCGTCTGTCTTGGTTTTCGGGAGCGTTTCACTAACATGCTGTATATAAGAAAAAAAATAAAAAAAGATTTGTAGTAACGGGAGTTAAAAGACTCACAGAATTTTCTCCATTTTTTTAAATTTCTGTTATTTTTTAAATAATATCATCACTAAAATTTTTCATTTCTTTTTCTGATAACTATCATAACTTGGCCGTTTTCGGCTTGACGTCGATTTCTGGGACATTCTGTATATCTTTGATTTTTGTCTTCTTTTGTCATAGACTGATTGCATCTAAAATCACATAATCTTGTTGGTAGTCTTACAAAGTGTATACGAATATAGTATGAATATACTAGATGGCAACACTTGAATAGAGTAAAATGATTTAAGTCATTTGATATTCCCAAAAATGTGTGTTTTTTTTCTGTGGCTTTAATTAAAACACATTTTTATTTGAAAAATCATGGAAAAGTAATAAAACTCATTTTATATATTATAACTTATTTCTAGACGCGATAATTTTTGTCAACTATTTTTCTGCCATTGTTCTTTGATATTCTATAATTTAAACGAAACATGGCCGCAAGCGCGGTGAAATGTTGCCTGACAATTGATAAATATATTTAAACATCGCGTCTATTATCGATAATACAGGAAACTTGAGTGCAGTCACTTCTTGCTCTTTACTTGTTTTTCATGCAGTTTACACAGAACCTCAGTGCACACAAAGACATATTGATTGGGATTTAATTTAGACCACAAACGTCCTACGTTATTGGTAGTCTTGATGTATGTTCTAGTACGTAGTACATATTACTTCAATGGTTGCAAGTTTGGAAGAAGTGCCCAGCCTCTTCATATGTAGCGCACCCTAGACGATTTTGCCAGTTTCTCTATTGCATATAGGCTACAATATAACCTTTCGCCACGGCAGTAAATCTTTGTCATTAAATTCGTCACCGATACGCTAAATATAAAATAATGATGAATCATGTCTACTAAATATTGCGGTAAGCCTAAATAATTAGTAAAGTGAATTAGTAATAAGCAGGCCATATGGCTATATACTCCATGCTAACCATAGGATTTTTTAGAGTAAGCCAACAACCAATTCGGGCTATGTGACTACCACTAGACGGAGCGACAATCTGATTCAAGCAATTAAGGATCTTGTTTTTTATGTTCAACAATGTGTTGACGATGACGATGACGATGGCAAATGCGGTAAGCTTTATTTATCAGCAATGCTTTATTTAATAGAAATAGAATAAGACCGTTTTAGAGAAAAGCACCATATATTTTGTGAAATTTCTGTACGAAAAATACCACACTTGCCCCATTGTAAAATAACTACTTAAATAGAATCTTAATTATTTTTGAAACTTTTGTGATAAGGGAGTACGAGTTAATTTGTTTGGAACCCGTCCATATAATGATTATTATAGGGTTCATTGAGTGCACAGATTTATTTTTAGACAGCTATTCACTTGGAGAAAAAATGTAGTTACGCTTAAAGATTGGTTATTTTAGTTGTGTTAGTTATCTTCTTTTTCCATGTTTGTTTTGAATTGCAAAAAGAGTTATCGATCTATATTTTTTCAGTTATCTAAATCATTTTTAAAAATTTGTGCCAGTTTCCAAATAATTTTTCTTATTTTGAAAAACAAACAGAATATTAGATTTTGATATTTTAGTAAGCAACTATCACAACTATCATAACAGATTAATGATCAATTAAATACTACTAAGATGCAAAGAGTGTCAGTGACAATATGTTCTGTAACATTTATTGAAATGAAATAAAATGAAAATGAAAAGAAAAAAAATTGAGGACGTAACCTTTTCTTCTATTTCATTATACACTCACGGATATTTTAATAAAAATATTGAATTAGATCGATACATGAAGTTTAGTGTGAATTACTTCCATACCAGTGCGAATGGCAGATGAAATAATATCGCGTGCTGCACGCCTGCGACTTTCCTCACCCGCTTTCTCCTCTACCAGCTTCGCCATTGAGTTCTGGAGACTTCTGCAAATAAAATAAAAATTGAATTCCCTACAAACTTTCAATTCGGTTTGTCAAACACACCAACAGACTATGCACTTTTAACGCTACTCCCTGTTAAGCATCTACGTAATTTTGTTTAGGCACACAACTAGATTGTAATTTCACTGTCTTTCGAAAACCAGTCTCCTTAGCCTTTCTATTCCTGTGCTCAAGCAAAAATTGATTTTAGCGGCACTTATGGGGTGAGATGGAATGGTATTCTCTAGCTGCGTGGTGGTCGTGTAAGGAGAAAATGATATAAAATTTATTTTGAAATTTCATGTCATTAGTCTTTTTTTTTTAAATATGCTACCGTTCAAAATGTGACAACAATTGGTATAAAGTGACAATAACACTATAAGTGAAACCACTGACAACTAGCTGCAGTGTTAGTCAAGCCGCATTCGAGACTTAGTGCTGATAAAAAGTTGGGATGTTCATTTTTAAGTTAAAGGAGAATGGGATTTTTGGGCCTAAAGTTAACTAATTGGTTCATACTTTAAAAAATTAGGCATATTTTTCTAAAGTAAAATACAAAAAAGTAGCTCTTTTTACAATCCCGAATTCGAAAAAACAATAAAATAAGAAATAAGTTAGAGAATCGATTATAGTGTATTTTTTATGGTAATAAATTGATTACCATAAAGAATACACTAGTAAAATTCTCGTTTCTGAACGTTATCTTCCAATAGAGGTCTTCCATTTTGAAAATTGAAAGACATATTTTCGATTCGATTTGCAACGAGCGCAATATAACCGATTCTCGATTAAATTGAGCCTTTTAATATCTATTTTAGATTATTTTTCTCTGTTAACTAAGGAGATAAAAAATAATTGCTTTCATATCTAGAAAATAATAATAAAAATATTATTTTATTATATTAGTATTAGTTTATATATATTATATGTAGCTATTGTATGTATTGTTTTTATTTATAGTATCATTTAATATAATTTACGTAACATTTTGTATATTATTTACAGTAGTATTAGTATTACACGCACTGAGTTTGCCTTTTTAATATATTTTTTTTGTGGATCTACTGGAAGATATTTTAGCAAATTATGGAATAATTAGCACCTTTGTACAAACTCACTATAAGACTGTGTCTGTATCTTATTGTCTGTACATAAATAAATAAATAAATTCCAACAAGTAACAGTTACAACAACAATTCAAGCAATCGATCTCAGATCGATAAGCCTAATATTCACTTCACTTAGTTTTTGTTGTTTTAACTTTCGTTAATCATTTCACAATTTCGTTTCATTATTAACCACAGCTTTTTTGGTGATTTTATAACTTTAAGTAATTAAAATGAAAAATAGCCTATTACAATGTAATAACAGTGAAAAATCACCTGTTACAGTGTAGGTAATAGATAATCCAACTTTTACTTATCATACAATAACTCAGTTCCTAGATTGACAAATCTTGCCAGATTTTCAGCTATGAATTGTTTATATATACGCTTTCAAACGGTTCTACTTTCATCTTGTTAACACCTGGGCCCAAGAATTTATGGAGACGTCTCCTTCTCCTTTAATGATATCAATTTTCCGAATGCGCCACGACCCACGACACATTCGATGGTAATGAACTATAATATTATTTGATTTTTTTTATAAATCTAAATCTCTTCTTTAATATGTTTAACAAGCTAATAACTAATAACTTACCTTCTAGCATCTTGTAGAAGGACAGATGGATCGACCTGAGTGGTGTTATGCATCGGCTCGCTCTCCGTTTTCTTTACGCCGCTGCGATTTATTTCTCTCGCTTCTTCAATTGGAGTCTGAAAAAAATATAAAATTTTGTCTCATTTTTTTTTTCAATAGAACGCCACATAAACATGGTCCTGAGTCATCTGCATCTTTTTACTTCCTGCATGTTTTACTAGTCCGTCACTCCATCTAGTAGGATGCCGTCCTACAACCTTGCGGTACGAGGCTGGCACTCGAACCTTCCTCATCGAAACTCTCGGTTCTCAAAGCAATATGACCGACATGATACCACTTCAGTTGACTGTGGATATCTTCGTTACGAATTCTATTATGCACAGGTCCGATCCGAGCATAGAGGCTATGCTCGGATCGGACCATAGCTTGTTGAACGTCTTTAAACATACTCATACTGTCATATTGCGTCATCAGATTCATAATATTATGTCACCACTGGTAACATACTGGTTTTACACTTTTGTTTTTTTACTTTCAAACAGCGCGTCTACATTCATGTCTACGTTACTACGTGCATAGTGCATAGATGTACTGTTTTCGAGACTCAGAAGGAAAATCGGTCCATAGCACCACAGTTTATAGACCTAGAAGTTGGGAAACAAATGTACTTGTGCAGAGCAACGGTGGGAGCACTGCAGGGCAGGGGGCCGGCTCGACCTTGTGCTAGCGCACTTCACCGAGTCTGATGGACGATACGCGCCAACCGTATGGCGCGAGAGTGTTTCATAGTACTTATTTAACTAATTTTAAGTGTCGTTTTCAAAATATATAATATCTAGAATGGTGAATTACTGTTATAGTTATATGAGTTACTAAGTAAAATAGAATTCAAATGACGGCCATTCTTATGTTTCCCTCATTTTTACCTAGATTAAAATTTTTATCCGAATGCGAATACATTACATAATTAAATTTAACAATCGAAAACTAAAAACATTCATAAAAAAAAGTGTTACGAAAATATTTGGCAGTGCAACACTTGTAAATGTGTTTTTCTTGTAGTAATTAAAAAAATATCTTATTCAATACACGCTTTTAATTTATAACTATGTACATAATGTTATTGAATGATAACGAGTATCATAATATACAAAATTATTTTATTTCCAATTTCGTGACAACCCTCTACACGCTGGCCGTGTGAATACCTACGCTGGCAGGTCTCCGGACATCAAAGACGTTTCACAACTGTAAGGTCTTAAAACTGTGGTAGAGAGTTGGTGTGGTGGAGAGTTGTCGCCTTACTCTAAGAACAAAACCAGCTTACTTCTGCCTCTCGTCTCGAGAGTAGCGTATCATGGAGGACGGAATACAATGTCTTTCAATTATTTTAAGTGGCACTATCCTTAAATAATATTTTTTTACAATTACCTGTGAGGGTTCAATTCCAATCTGTTGCAGTCTAACGGTGCCGTTGTCCGAAGATTTTCCCGATAACTCTCTGTCTTCACTTTGAGCCTTTGGCTTCGCAATCTTTGATACAACTGGAACAAGAATAGTTAGGGTAATCGCCGTGCTTTCCGGATTGTTGATTACAATATCATAAAGGTCGCATCTTTGGCTACGTCACAAGTGTTGGCAGGCATTTCCTTTAGCTGATTCTTACATCCTTGAGAAGAAATGGGGTAAAAATTATATTACTCCAGCTCCATACAGCGAGATGTTTTTTGAAAGCACTGTTGTAGCCAATCATTTCTATCAACCCGTATTAAACTAACATTTATTTATGTGATAACATTGAAAAAAGATTTTTTTTATAGAATGAGGATGACAAACGAGCACACCTGATGGCAAGTGAATGCTATGACCCATTAACAACTAAATCGTTCCTCGGACATTGTCGTGCCGACCCTGAGCACTTAGATGTATTACGCTTTAAGCGTCCCCACACAAGCGGATTGTTGTGGCGGCTAACCGCGAGCAGCGACTCCAGCCGCTGCAACAACACACCACCGCCGTCACATCGGCGGCCTGAAGCTCCATTCGCTGTGGTGTCTGTGCTACGATCGGACGTCAGTCAACATGGCCAACCATGACGAAGTCTTATTTCTCTTATTATATTATCCCATATTTAGTATTTAATCTTAACGTTTTTGTACTCACAGTGTGAAGTATCATAAAGTATTGAATAATTTTGCACTGTTTCTATTAAAATCTATGTATTTATACCCAATAAAATCTAAGAAATACCTTTGACAGCTGTCAAACTTATTGGAGTAGGCATGCCAACCAAAAAATCGGTCCGTATAATATTTGATTCTTAAGAAAAATCGATATCAATTCTTTAGAGTCGGTAATCATTTACAGTTTAATTTCGATTAAATCCAGAATAAATTAGAAACTGATAATTTAAAATACATTTATCAGTTTATTCGTATTTATTGTTACTGCTTATTTCTAAAGGCAAAGTTATATAAATTTAAGATTGAAACTAAATTAAAATAAATGTATTTAATCACTTTCAATACAACTAGTTCAGAGGTCGTTGTTTAGATTAATTGTTATTTGATTTTTTATAATGCAGTAAAATTTAATGTCTCTTTCAAAGTCATTCTTAATAATTTTCTTTGTTTTCCCCACCAGTTTTACTCAATTATCCGTTGTGACATGGGAATATGCTTCCTTGAGCAAATTTTCCACCTTCTTCACCGTAAAAGGTGGCTTGGTGTTGTATAGCCTGTAAAAGCATAAGATGTTTTCATCTCGTGTGTATCTAAGTTGAGTTAATATGTTTGCATTTAGAACATTTTATATAAGATCTAGCCTTTGATTTGGGCCCAAATAAAATTCAATAGCATTATATTGGCAGTAGTATGGTGGTAGTCTTATAACTTTATGTCCATCCTTTCTGCTTAACGTACAAAGATTTACGTGATTCATTTCACTTTACTAAATTTGTTAGCTTTCAATATTTTCATATCCGCTTCCACTTCTTTGTGTTGCAGTCATGCTACTAAATCTGCTTTCTTATTCGTTAGGGTTTGCGCTTCGTCGATTTAGACAAAATAGTATGGGGCGTTGTCCATTATTACGAGTATTGTGTTACTCGCAGAAATATTTTCTTAAAAGGTTACAAACCACTCTTTGAATTTTTCTGCTTCTATTTCCTCGTAGTATTCACTTGTAGTCTTTGATTGGAAGGCCCATAAACAATTTTCTACAAATCCTCCTTCAGCGGATCAAGCGTGGCAAATTATGAGGCGCCCATCTTTTCCTACGGGCACCTCAAGATGCTGCAGTGTCATCTGTCTAAATCTGGGGCACAGTCAGGCCTCCGTCACTCGCTCAAGACCCTACGTTATATGCCTACCGTTTTGCGTATCGCCCACGATACAACCGACATTGGGCTGCCGCACGCCCGCCTGAGCGCTTGCACCGCGCACGTTTCTCGCGCTTACTCTTCGAAATGCCGAAACCACGTAATTATTGTGCAGTGGATGGGTGTCAGAGTCAAAAAACAAATGAAAAGTTGTCTTTTTTTTCTTAACTATAAGGTTACATCGAAACAAAGTATAACAGTGCTGTAATTTATAAATTGAGTGACAACCATTTTCAACGATTTTATTGACATAAAAAATATGGTTATTTCGCAAGATTCGTTTTATTACAATAATCATCATAGGTACAACCCTAGCGCATTCGTGCGATGACGCGCTTGCACGTGAGGCGCACGGCGGTCAACACAATTTTGACTCTTTATACGCGTATTTATGGTACATTTTCCTCGCGCTGCCAACAGCAGATATTATTATTAAGATTTTTTAGGCTATTATAGCGTAGGTATTTTCGCTTTTATATGGGAGTGATGTATCTGTTTAGTAAACTATTAAGTAATCTGTGGCACAGTGTGGTTGAGGTTTAACAAGGTTTCAATGTCAAACGAATATAACGTTGTTCCAACTGGTTACATTTATCATTTCTTTTAAAAATGTTATGTCATGCCTCACCATAATTATTTTGCATTTATAATTTTTTTTTGTATCGGAAACCCATGCGTTTTAAAATTCCATTGCACAAGCCGGTATCTACTAAATTTTCTTACAACTTCACAGCAGCAGGATATTGGCCCCTTTTGTTTGCTGTAGACATGTTTTCTAACAGAATCTGTGTCGAATTGATCGATACCTGTTACTGGTTTGTTCATTTTCAGTCTTGGCAACGGTGCGTTTGCCTTTCCGAGTGCTTAAACGACACGACCCCGCACTCGTGTCACTGGTAAAAGGGTCCCACCGTTTTGTGACCCACGTTTGAATATTTCGTGTAATTTCACCACCAATGCACAAGCCTGTTTAAATTGGGGCTACCACAACTATATTTTCGGCATTATGATCACTTGCTTAGTCAGAGCCCAGTATATAACTTGCCAAGGTCAAAGAATATAGTAGAATCAGTCCAAAAAGTTATAAACGAGGCACAAAATAAGAAGACAAAAGCAAAATCACAAATATGGGCATTGGATACGAGTTTTCTTGCTTGAACTGAATTTATGCTGATAAATTAGGAAATTACATAAAAAAACTTGTTTTATTTATGATTCACATAATTTAAGCAATTTTAAAAATAAAAATTTAAATTCAAAAATGACAGATTCGATTATTTGAATATTTTTACCGATTATTCGTATAACAATTAATTCTAATTATTCAAACACTACGGTAAGATACATAGCGACATATCATTAAAACGTTAGGCAAACAAGTTGACTCTGGTTAATTTTTTTAATATTTTGCTTTTTTTGAAAGATTCGAACTTAAATTAGTGATAAAGAACTATACATGTTATAATGAAATATATATTACTTCATATATAGGGATTTATGTAAAAGGTTATTTTAAATCTTGTGAGTACGCTTGTACAAAGCTATTGCAGAATGGTACACGCGGCCCGTTGTAAAAATTTGGCGCGTGACCGCGCTGCAGCCACCGACGGGCCGCGTACTCGCCAACACACACGCGTTGGCGGAGGGGGCAGAGGGGGCGGAGGGGCCAGAGGGGGTGGAGGGGGCAGAGGGGACAGAGGGGCAGAGGTGACAGAGGGGGCGGAGGGGGCAGAGGGGGCAGAGGGGACAGAGGGGGCGGAGGGGGCAGAGGGGACAGAGGGGGCAGAGGGGGCGGAGGGGGCGCAGCATGCGGCCGCGGCCAGCCGCTCGCAGATCGCGCCATGGCCGCACGAGTTTGCAGACTCACTTACATTACAAGCGACCGCCTCCGAGAGCCGCTTGTGTGTGGGAGATGCTTAAGTCTTAACAGGCAGCGTGTACCGCGTGAAAAATGGTGCTAAATTCAGAGATTTTAATAGAAACAGTGCAAAATTATCCAGTACTTTATGATAATTCGCATCGTGATCACAAAAGCATTCGGATTAAAAACAAATATATAATATATAATAATATTGCTGAATATAATAAGACTTCGTCACGGTTAGTCATATCACTGACGTCCAATCGTAACACAGACATCTGAGCGAATGGCGCTTCAGGCCGCCGCTGCGATGCGGTGGTGTGTTGTTGCAGCGGCTGGAGCCGCGGCTCGCGGTTAGCCGCCACCGCAAACCGCTTGTGTGTGAGAGAAACTTTAGAAATCCAGCAGAATGAAGCTCCTACTTTACGCTGGTATTCTGTGAGGGGGTGGTCCCTTCATGGTCGAGCTGACCCATTCGTGCTACATCTATAATATACGTACCATTACCACATAGATTCGTACGTTCGGCTGGCACGATACAGGAGAAAATCCTCGTTGACAAGTTTTTTTTTATTTAATAAATAATAAAACGGAACTAACCCGGTTTGGAGACATTTCGTTTGATTTCCGGTGCTGCAGTCAACGATGCTCGTCTTTCGAATTGTTCCTTGAAACTACCCACATGACCACCTGAACGAAAAAAAAACATATATCATTAACAATAAACAATTTTAGTTAAATTTGGTGTATGCGTTAAATTTTAATATTTTTTTCTCTTCTTCCTCAAGAGCTGAGGTAGCTCATAATCGCTCGCAATAGTTAAAAAATTGTTATATAATATGTAAATAACACACTATTTTCTGTCCTCAAGCCTTCGCAGAGATGAGTGACATAAGTGCCCAGCAGTGGAACGTATGAAGTCTTTGCTCTACTTTACTTCTTCATCGTGATATACAAGACCCAATGCTGGGTTTAATCCTAGCCTATGGGCCTATACTTGTGTTACTTAGCAGGCTGCAGTTAATCACAGTACTAAATGCATAGTAGCACTTTAGACTCTTCAATAGTGGTATGAATTTTTGGATCAAGCATGGTTTTCAGATATATTTATTCCGCCATGTCACAAAATAATGACTTTCAAGACGTTCGTGGATATTATAAATTAATCTTATGGAGAATTTACAAAGAATGAGAAATTCATAGCTGGCGGCCTAAGATAATTTATCATCCCTTATCCAGTCGGAAGAAGATTTTTTTGCTAAAAACCATAAAGATTTTATGGCCTTTTGAAAATTGTAGTATGATCATAACGTATATACCAGATGTAATAAACTCAGACCTAACAGAGAGCGGCGTCAAAGGTGTAAGACATAATATTATGATACTCCAATCGCCAAGCCATTCGTTAAACGTAGCGGTTATAGCACAGATCTCTACTACTGGAGGGACCCATGTCCAGCACTGGACTATAACACGATGCTAAGAGGAAGAAAAGAAAGAAAATTGTGTCGTACCGATTGATAGTTTTTTCGGTTTTGCCGGGGCAGGCGTCGTGGCGGCGGGCGCTTGTTGCGTCAAAGACAGCGAAGTCAATTTATCTGTAGTTGTGGCCACTGAAGCTGGTTTTGGTTCTTCTATCTATAAATGACGAAATAATTTACATTTTTTTATTAATATTAACTTTTTAATTTTATCAATTAATTAAATACAATAGGTATAAACATTTTAAAAATTAGTTGTATAAATGAAATAGTTCAATTGTATCACACTTATATTCAGACAGGTTATAGTTTATTTCATGGATTACTTTTAACGGTGATTGAAAAACCAACCCTAAATCAATTACAATAGTTTTACCTAGCCAATGATTAAGACACAGAGTTGATTAGATTTTACATGAAGGGGTAGAGTCTGTGTAACTAAGAGTATTACAATAAAATCAATCCTTTTTAACCGTCTTCAAAAAAGGAGGAGGTACTCATTTCGACTGTATTTTTATGTGTGTTAACCCTAGAACTTTTTTCTAGGTGAACCGATTTTGTTGATTCTTTATTTATTTGAAGGTGCTTTGGTTATGTCGTCCCATTTAATTTGGTCAAGATCTGACCAGTAGTTTTTGAGTTATCATTAATAATGCCTATTTAATTAATTGACTTTTGTACAAAATTTTTAATTTTAACATTTGTTTCGATAGTTCAAATTACTTAAAAGAATTCAATTTTGAAAAACCATGGTACCTATGAGGAATTTAGAAAAGGAAAAACGAGTATGTACAAAGTCTAGTTAACTATACAATAGAATATCTTGGTTAGAATGTTTTATGTAATTTTATATTATATTATTTCTAATTCTTTGCCTTCATTCTCTTTTTTCTTTGAAATTAAAAAAATACGAAGTTGGGGCTACCTTCACATCATCCTGCTTTTCTGGCGATTCCTTCTCTTCTCCTTTAGATGGAGTGATCTTTTTCTTGATTGTAACATGGGGTTTAGTCACGTCATTAGTTTCTTCTTCTTTGGGCATTTGCTTAGAGATATCAACAGTAGCATCTTTGGCTAGTTCGACTGGTGCAGGGGCTATGGTGATAGTTGCTGATGATTTCAAGGAGGGTTGAAGCTGTAATATGTTAAAGGAATAGATTATAAAAAGGTTTCCTTTTTATATTTCGGATTTCGCCGACTGGCGTAAGACAATCACTACCACATATCATCCCGTGGCTAACATACTCTATTCTGAACATGGAAATATAACGGGACTCTAGTCTGATCCAAAAATCCTTTTAGAATCAGTGGGATGCGTTGTCCCGCAGCAGGATCTATGGTGTTAAATTTTTTAAACGTGATACCCGTTTTTGTTTTAATTTTTTTAAACACACACTACTTTGTAGGATTTTCTCCTGTATCGTGGTGGCATTTCACACAAATAAGAGGAAAACTAGAATAGATGATGGTCGGCAGCATCTTCCTGATAACATTTCATAATAATATTTTGTTCTCAATTCGCCTCTCAAGCGTAGCAACTGTGGCAAATGTATACTTAGCATTGGACTTTGATAGGCTGTAATGAATATGAGGACGAAGATATTTCGATTACCTAAACATATTTTGATATAATACCATGATTTGATGAAAAAATGTTCAGTGACTCGAAATATAGCAATAACCAAAGAAAGTACTAACAATTAACATTAAAATTAATAAAATACCCATACTAAAAATAATATTTTTGAAATACTTTATGACTCAATTTTAAGAAATTATACATTATGCATATAATAATTAAAATGTAAAATAATATATAGCATTCGAAGCAAACATCTATACTACTAGATCGACAATTCATAACAAAGACTGTAACATAGCTATGTCTCGCGCGAGTGTGCCCCACTGCCGCGCCCTGGGGTGGCTAGCTGGCACGGTAAATATGACACGTGATTGTATTTACATTTACGACAATTACTGTTTTTGCCAAATACGAAATTAAGTTATTATCGCTTACCTGAAATAAATGTCAAATCACGTTGACAAAGTGCGCACATAAATAATGACGACGTTTTCTTAATAAGGTAAAAAAGAATCAGTTAGATTGTTGAAAACAACGTTCGCGGTATAAAAAATAAGGAACTGTAATATATAAATTATAGTCTTCTCGGCCGCTAAAGAAATTACGGAGTATTTACCGTAACTCAGTGCGCAATATATCAGTACCGTATTGTATGTCTAGTTGTATACATAGAAGTATTTGATTTGAAGGTAATAATATAGAAGTAATCGTACTTGTTCAGCTGGCAGCGGTTCTTCAGCAGGCGGCGAGTCCGGCGAAGGCTCTTCGGGGAGCGCGCCCGGCAGCTGAGCAACGCTTGCGCAACTGTTGGATACAAAAATGTAGGCCTTCCTATATACTGCAATATTTATAAACTACGCGGCGGTAAAATATTGTAGTCAAGCACTGGCTTATAATAAGTAAAAAAAAAAAAAGAAAATAGTCATTCCTCAGAAGCTAATAACCCTATTCAATAATAAGAGTAATTATCTAAATAAATATACATTAAGTTAAAAAAATTATATCTTCAATGAGAAATGAAAACATAAAAAAGAATACCATGTTCTGAAATGATAGCAGAGGGAATATATAAATTACAGAGCGCTAATTTTCAGGCTTCTTTATTTACATTTAGACATATAAATAAGTTGGTAGCGAATGTCCATTACAGTAGATACTTACCATGGTCAATTCACCTTCTCAGGTGAATTGACCAATTGGTAAGTTCCTTTGTCACAATATTATATTAAAAAACAAACTCGAATCGCTTGTAAATACCCTCATATGAGGAAAGCTTTAAAGTGACGTCCTTAGGCTATACTCATTCTATAGCTGGTCAGATATTGATTTAATAATAATAATATTCCACAACTATCACACAACGCCATCTAGTCCTAAGCTAAGCAGAGCTTGTGCTATGGGTACTAGACAACTGATAAACATACTTATATATTTCTAAATACATAAATATTATAGATAAATTACACCAAGACACAGAACAAATGATCGTGCTCATCACACAAACATTTGTCCTGGGTGGGAATCGAACCCACGACCTCCGGCATAGCAGTCAGGGTCACTAACCACTAGACCAACAGGCCTGTTAAACTAGTAGTCTCAATGGAACGGGAAGGCACGCTGCGCTGCACTAGTGCGTTTCTACGGATTTTACCTCTTAGAAACATGATTGCAGATATGCAGTTTTTGAAGTTAAACTTCTTTAGTATCGTTGTGATTTGAAACGCAATGAAACGAAAAAGCGACACTAAAAGGAAACTATACTTAATTTAATAAAGTGGAACAGGTTATTTGGTTGTTTAAACAAGCTAATCTCTGAAACTACCAGTCCGATTTGATAAATTCTAGCTAGGTTTTGTACATGATAGCTAGATTTATGAGGAATAGTGTAGGCTATCCAGCATTAGGCAGCGTTTCCACCGGAGATGTGCAAGGATGTGCAGCGAGGGATGTGGTTGTTAAGAACCAATAGAATCACTTCATTTACCAATCCTCGCTCAGCGCAGCTCTGGTGGAAACGGCTCAACGGAGCGAGATTTTTGTACATACAAAACAAGGGAATAATGTGTGCGAAGATGTGTTGCGAGGGATGTGTTCGAGGGCTGTGTGCGAGGTATGTGTTATCTACTACGCTACGAATCGCACCGTTCAGCGGCTTAGCACATCTCTGGTGAAAACGCTTACACCATTCCACAGCCTCGCTACGCATCCTCGCACCGCCTAGCTACCTTGCATATCTCTGGTGGAAACGCAGCCTTAGGCTACACCTCTCAGCTACAGCCTTAAATATTGATTTTTGTTAAGCAAGTCGGAAAAAAACCGCTCCCGAACTGCTTTATTCGCGTGCGTTGACGTAATGGTTAGTGACACGTAAATACAATGCTTTACAAAAATATAGAGATCTTTCCTCCATCTAAAAAAGCCCGCGTACCATAGGCCTATTTCTTATACATAAAAACATCATTTTGTGACAAAAAAAATATTGAATATTAAAAAGTGATTTATAAGCGTTAATATTAGACATGGCATATTAATCCTTACGTATGTAAGTTACTTCATAATCATGACAATTTTATGAAGATAATCTTTGCTCTTATAGCATGTTATTTGAACGCATAGTTTAAGAGATAATGAAAAATTAAAATAATTCAACACTCACACACTTTACAATCTGATATTTTATCCCGCACTTGTAGTTGAAAATTAAGTTTCTCGCACGGGTGTGAAATTTATTTAATTTACTTCGTTAGATGGCGGAATAACCATTTCGTTTATTAGAGATGTAAAATACACAGTCCTGCAACGGGGTCTAGTAATTCAATCGCATCTTTCACAAAGTTGGTCACAGAAACGTTAGACTGGACTAAAACTTTTAAATACCTCGCAACCCTCTCCTTCTTCCTCTGCAACCCGCTGGCAGACATCGCGAGCTCCAACTTGCGCTTGTTTTCGCCCGCAGTCACTATTGTGCGAGTTGGTGATGGTTTTATTGCATCTTCTCCACCCTCTAAAAAATAAAACGTTTGTTGGCATTATCATAATCACCAATGATGAAAAACGTATTTTTTGTTAACCAAATTAAACAACTATATTCTAAGATTCTAAGGTATAGCAAGATTCTTTCAATTAATTAAAACATAGGGGGCTAAATTCAGTTTACGTAAAGTACGAATGACATAGCAGTAAATTAAGTTTACATGTAAATTTTACGGGCGCGGGTGCGGGCAGTCTTGGGCGTTAGTTAGCACAGTAACTATTATTATATTTTCATTTATGGTATTTACTGTTTTTAGGCAGATAAAAATTAAATTACAATCTCATTTCAGGTATATAAACTTCAAATTACGTTGAAAAAGAATGCACATAATTAATAAAAGCGTTTACTTAGTCACATAAAACAAAATCAGTGTTAGATTGTCGAAAACAACATTTGCGATTATCAAAAAAAAAAAAAGCAACTAGTCTTGTCGCTCGCTCGCATAAGACTGAAGGAGTTGCGGACAATTGACCGTAGCTTAGTGTGCATTGTATTAAGTTCACACAGCCCGTCTATATAGTAGTATAAGTCCTTGAAAATCGTGTACAAAGATGGGAGTGTTCAATATCTGTCCAGTTAGTTAAGGGAAGTTTAAATTGCCAGTCAAATTAGTTTATTGGAACGAAGGTCCTTATTTGGCGGTTTTACGAATTTGGCGAATGGGGCATTTTTCGTCACGACCCCTTCTGACGTAGTGCCTTGACGGCTATAAGGGAACGAGATGGAATAATATCCATCTCCCTCGTACTTTATCTTCTCTTGCCATGAAAGGAATATGATTTTAAATGACGCTTCATTTTAATACTATAGTAATTCATTTATTTGTATTTGTTAATCAATAATATAATACGTTTATCAATAATACTATATTAGAAGCGTCAGTAGCCTAATGACAGAGCGAGGAGCGCGAACTTAAAAGGTCGTGGTTTCATTTCACTACTGTCGTGATCCACTTCTAACAAGCATTTTTAGCTTACCAGAAGTGGTTTAAGGGAATATTAGTATTGTTTAATAGCAACACTAGTATTAAAAAAATACTACGAAAAGAACTTCGTTCCAACAAAGTGTTCCACAACACTCACTTAACTTTTTTTATTGTCATAAATGTTAACAAAAGTCACAAGCTGTTAGTTTCCTAATTCGTGTTTTCTTACCAGCGACAAGCTCGAGAATTCTCTTCTCCGCAGAGTTGCTTGGCTCAACAGGCATAGATGTTGAGCTTGTTAGGTCTGTGCAACTTTCTTCTGGTCCCAGTTCATTCTGTCAATAAAACAAAATTTCAACGTCCATGTATTTTTTTAAATTATTCTATTGTACTGTACCATATATAAACTACTGTAGGCGACATCGAGGAAATCTGAGGAAAGTGGCACATAGAGAGGAGTGCAGCGTCAATTATCTATGATTCAGATTGTCTATGTGTGGGCAAGGCAACAGAGATTGAGATGAAAAGTTGATCTACTTGGTGCAGAAATATGAATATTTGTAGTCAAAAACTACACTGACAGAAATTTTAAAAAGAATACACAGGGAAAAGTATGCAGAATAAAATTAATTCGCAATTAGCCAGAATTCTCGAACGTTCTCACTACTTCGCTTGCCATCTCGGTTCGGGCATTGTGACAAAATTGACAATTCTCCCTCTTCTCTCCAGCCGTCAGCAACTGAAGTAGAGCTAATCGGTCTGATTATCTGATTTAGGTCTGGTATTTTACTAATTTTATGTCTTTACTGTCGCCAACAGAGACAAGAGTCGAGTCGAAACACCAGCGTGCAGTGTACTCCGGTCGCTATTTTTGTGAATTTGATTATGCATCAGCAACGCCCCGTCCCCGTTCCCTGTATTGACCTGTAATACTACCTGTTGTACTACAGGTAGTATTACAGGTCTTACTTGACCTAAATCGTGCAAAATAGCTCCACGTGCAACTCCAGGAAGCAGCCGCACCGGCGTCTTCGCGGCCAGCGCCTCGCCAGCCGCAGCGTGCCGCAGCGGGCCGCACTCACCTCAGCCGGCACCACGACGGAGTTGCCGTGCGCGGGCGCGGCGGGCGCCAGCGACAGCAGCAGGTCGAGCCGCACCGGCGTCTCCGCGGCCAGCGCCTCGCCAGCCGCAGCGTGCCGCAGCGGGCCGCACTCACCTCGGCCGGCACCACGACGGAGTTGCCGTGCGCGGGCGCGGCGGGCGCCAGCGACAGCAGCAGGTCGAGCCGCACCGGCGTCTCCGCGGCCAGCGCCTCGCCAGCCGCAGCGTGCCGCAGCGGGCCGCACTCACCTCGGCCGGCACCACGACGGAGTTGCCGTGCGCGGGCGCGGCGGGCGCCAGCGACAGCAGCAGGTCGAGCCGCACCGGCGTCTCCGCGGCCAGCGCCTCGCCAGCCGCAGCGTGCCGCAGCGGGCCGCACTCACCTCGGCCGGCACCACGACGGAGTTGCCGTGCGCGGGCGCGGCGGGCGCCAGCGACAGCAGCAGGTCGAGCCGCACCGGCGTCTCCGCGGCCAGCGCCTCGCCAGCCGCAGCGTGCCGCAGCGGGCCGCACTCACCTCGGCCGGCACCACGACGGAGTTGCCGTGCGCGGGCGCGGCGGGCGCCAGCGACAGCAGCAGGTCGAGCCGCACCGGCGTCTCCGCGGCCAGCGCCTCGCCAGCCGCAGCGTGCCGCAGCGGGCCGCACTCACCTCGGCCGGCACCACGACGGAGTTGCCGTGCGCGGGCGCGGCGGGCGCCAGCGACAGCAGCAGGTCGAGCCGCACCGGCGTCTCCGCGGCCAGCGCCTCGCCAGCCGCAGCGTGCCGCAGCGGGCCGCACTCACCTCGGCCGGCACCACGACGGAGTTGCCGTGCGCGGGCGCGGCGGGCGCCAGCGACAGCAGCAGGTCGAGCCGCACCGGCGTCTCCGCGGCCAGCGCCTCGCCAGCCGCAGCGTGCCGCAGCGGGCCGCACTCACCTCGGCCGGCACCACGACGGAGTTGCCGTGCGCGGGCGCGGCGGGCGCCAGCGACAGCAGCAGGTCGAGCCGCACCGGCGTCTCCGCGGCCAGCGCCTCGCCAGCCGCAGCGTGCCGCAGCGGGCCGCACTCACCTCGGCCGGCACCACGACGGAGTTGCCGTGCGCGGGCGCGGCGGGCGCCAGCGACAGCAGCAGGTCGAGCCGCACCGGCGTCTCCGCGGCCAGCGCCTCGCCAGCCGCAGCGTGCCGCAGCGGGCCGCACTCACCTCGGCCGGCACCACGACGGAGTTGCCGTGCGCGGGCGCGGCGGGCGCCAGCGACAGCAGCAGGTCGAGCCGCACCGGCGTCTCCGCGGCCAGCGCCTCGCCAGCCGCAGCGTGCCGCAGCGGGCCGCACTCACCTCGGCCGGCACCACGACGGAGTTGCCGTGCGCGGGCGCGGCGGGCGCCAGCGACAGCAGCAGGTCGAGCCGCACCGGCGTCTCCGCGGCCAGCGCCTCGCCAGCCGCAGCGTGCCGCAGCGGGCCGCACTCACCTCGGCCGGCACCACGACGGAGTTGCCGTGCGCGGGCGCGGCGGGCGCCAGCGACAGCAGCAGGTCGAGCCGCACCGGCGTCTCCGCGGCCAGCGCCTCGCCAGCCGCAGCGTGCCGCAGCGGGCCGCACTCACCTCGGCCGGCACCACGACGGAGTTGCCGTGCGCGGGCGCGGCGGGCGCCAGCGACAGCAGCAGGTCGAGCCGCACCGGCGTCTCCGCGGCCAGCGCCTCGCCAGCCGCAGCGTGCCGCAGCGGGCCGCACTCACCTCGGCCGGCACCACGACGGAGTTGCCGTGCGCGGGCGCGGCGGGCGCCAGCGACAGCAGCAGGTCGAGCCGCACCGGCGTCTCCGCGGCCAGCGCCTCGCCAGCCGCAGCGTGCCGCAGCGGGCCGCACTCACCTCGGCCGGCACCACGACGGAGTTGCCGTGCGCGGGCGCGGCGGGCGCCAGCGACAGCAGCAGGTCGAGCCGCACCGGCGTCTCCGCGGCCAGCGCCTCGCCAGCCGCAGCGTGCCGCAGCGGGCCGCACTCACCTCGGCCGGCACCACGACGGAGTTGCCGTGCGCGGGCGCGGCGGGCGCCAGCGACAGCAGCAGGTCGAGCCGCACCGGCGTCTCCGCGGCCAGCGCCTCGCCAGCCGCAGCGTGCCGCAGCGGGCCGCACTCACCTCGGCCGGCACCACGACGGAGTTGCCGTGCGCGGGCGCGGCGGGCGCCAGCGACAGCAGCAGGTCGAGCCGCACCGGCGTCTCCGCGGCCAGCGCCTCGCCAGCCGCAGCGTGCCGCAGCGGGCCGCACTCACCTCGGCCGGCACCACGACGGAGTTGCCGTGCGCGGGCGCGGCGGGCGCCAGCGACAGCAGCAGGTCGAGCCGCACCGGCGTCTCCGCGGCCAGCGCCTCGCCAGCCGCAGCGTGCCGCAGCGGGCCGCACTCACCTCGGCCGGCACCACGACGGAGTTGCCGTGCGCGGGCGCGGCGGGCGCCAGCGACAGCAGCAGGTCGAGCCGCACCGGCGTCTCCGCGGCCAGCGCCTCGCCAGCCGCAGCGTGCCGCAGCGGGCCGCACTCACCTCGGCCGGCACCACGACGGAGTTGCCGTGCGCGGGCGCGGCGGGCGCCAGCGACAGCAGCAGGTCGAGCCGCACCGGCGTCTCCGCGGCCAGCGCCTCGCCAGCCGCAGCGTGCCGCAGCGGGCCGCACTCACCTCGGCCGGCACCACGACGGAGTTGCCGTGCGCGGGCGCGGCGGGCGCCAGCGACAGCAGCAGGTCGAGCCGCACCGGCGTCTCCGCGGCCAGCGCCTCGCCAGCCGCAGCGTGCCGCAGCGGGCCGCACTCACCTCGGCCGGCACCACGACGGAGTTGCCGTGCGCGGGCGCGGCGGGCGCCAGCGACAGCAGCAGGTCGAGCCGCACCGGCGTCTCCGCGGCCAGCGCCTCCGCCACCTCCAGGCACGATGTCGAGCATCCCGCGTTCACCCAACTGCAAAATACACACCATATAACATTAGAGTGCAATGCGTGTCCGATTAAAATAAGGCAAATGTTTTAATCGGATATTTCAATTGTATAATATTTATACCCAGCACTACCAACGTACTAGAGACAATATTTTTTTGTTCATTTATAATATTGTTTTTATTTTTATTTTTTATTTAATGTTAATTGAATAAGAAAGTTCAAGCCTGGGATTGCGCGGTATTGGCATCTCACAAGATCGAATATAATATCGTCACTGGAAAGCCAATACTACTTAAAAACCAAAAGGGCATTTTACAGTAGAGCCATTTTAAGTTTTTTTTTTTTTACGTAACCGTTCTTAACTGTTTTTCTAATTAAGATATCAAAATGCAATAAAAGCAAAAAAAAAATCGTGGTTCTATTATCTACGTCCTGGAATCGAGATATTCTGCATATTTCTTGTAATTCAGAAGATAGCTGTCACTTTAGTACATTTGCTCTGTACACTTCGTAAGGAGAAACTACTTATCCCCATAATATATTTTTTTTTAAATACTAACAACTAACGTCCTTTCCAATGTGTGAAAGGAAAAAGTACTAACACGCATTACGGGTTGATAACGGTGTCAGGATAATAGTACTTAAACATTATAACATGTTACAAGACCGTACAGAAAAGCGATGTATAGTATTGAAAGTTGGTACCACTTTTATGCCAAAAAGACTAATGTAAAAGACATATGATTTAAATTTAAATGTTTTTTTCTTAACAGACATAGACAGTGCTTGTGCTAACAATAATTGTACTATCAACAAACAAAATAAATAAGAGTACTATAATTCCTAATTCAAGTTAGATTGAATATTTTTACTATATTGGTTGAAGAAAGAAAAAACAAAATATTAACTTGCTATGTAATCACTTTTAATGAAAAATAATAATAAAAAAATGACAGGATAGGTTTTTGACAGTTTTAAAACTTGGTTACTTGTAGCAAACATGTGCCAAAAGTCACGTAAAATAATTTTATTATTAATCTACAATAATAAAAAAGAAAGAAGAGATTAAATTGATATGCATAATAGATTTTGAATAAATACCTTGTGAAAAAAAAGTTGTATCTAATCATGCAGTTTTGGAAAATAATACTTAAATGGTGTTAAAAATCTAGTAGATTTTTGACACCATTGAACCTGAGTATAATTATTGTGTAAAATAAACTTTAAATTTATAATACTTTTTAATATTTTTTTAAATAAAACTACTTTTACGGATTTTATCGCGTATATTAACTTATTTTATATTCCCGACGTTTCGAGCACTTTACAGCACCCATGGTCACGGGAGGCACTGAGGTGTATGACGTCCCAATGTCATAGTAAACCACGGCTACCTCCAGATTAAAAATTATTAATTTTTGTTCCGATCTTCGCAGTATGAACTTACAGTATCTTGAAGGGTACGGGGTAAAGGGTAAGGGGTTGGGATTTAATTTTATTAATAAAACCCATAAAATTAGTTTTATTTAAATGTGTAGTGTTCGCGTAAATAAAATCAATTATTTTTAAATTTTATAATTAGATAATGTCTTCTACATCGGTATCTTGAAGGGTGTCCTGAACATTAACGGCACATGGAAAATTTTCATAAATTTCAAGAATTATTATATTAATACGTGGTAGAGCCATGCTGCAGCTATATTAGTAGTATAGTTGTAGCACGAATGGGTCGGCTCGACCGAGGAAGGACCACGCTCTCACAGAATACCAGCGTGAAATGGCAGCTTGATACTGCTGTGTTTCGTATGGTGAATGTAGAGAACCGGAGACCCATTTTACTGGAAAAGAGGCATTCTATCTTAGTCCTCACGGGCGACGACGCATCTGCATTTTGATTCTTCATTGAGGGTAAATGTAGATGTCTATGGGTCACAGCAACCACTTACCATCAGGTGGACTGTGTGCTCGTTTGTTACCCTATCCTATAAAAAAAATATCTTTGATGTACAAAGTTTCCACAAATAGAGATGATTCATTTGAATGCTCCCAATGTTCTTGTAATTTTGCAGATGAGTATGAATGCATGCAAGAAGAATTCTGTTTTTATTTTGTTCGGGACACGCATCGCTATAAAACAAAAGATGTCTGACTGACCTACGATCGTCTACCATCTTGATATATTTTCCTAAGATGGTGCACACTTCGTTAGCTCCACGTTTGCCTTCTGTCTCAGTCCAAGAATAACAACAGACTTCTCTAGTTCTGGACTCATAAAAAGTAAGATTATATACAGCTAATTTGCGACTGTAGTATAATAACATACTTTGGCCGTATGGCGTATTTAAAACTTTTTGTAAATCAAAATATAAATTGTACGTACGTCCTTAACAAATCAGACTTAATACAAACAACAAATCAAACAAATCAAATTTAATTTCAAAAGACTTAACTGAATATTTTTTAACGTTTTTCACACATCTAAATGCTAAACCAACTATTAATATTTTGTCGAGTAAAATAATCCATACTTAAAAAAAAATTTATTCGATTTCATTGAATGTAAAACATTCTAAATAGACACTCAAATATGTAAAGCTAAGTTACAAAAACCGTTCCCTCTAAGAAAACTGCGAAAACAAAATATACTAACGCGCCATGCTTATCAATTTCTACATAAGGCAAAGTTACTTATCTACATATATGCTAGTATTTACGGCCGGCAAAAAATACTAAAGTTATATCAATGATTGAAACTACAGTACTTTGAGTTGCTGAACAAAATTGAAATGTCTGTTGTCAGTAAAGAAAAATACTAAACTGACAACGACTAAAAATTAATCATAGTTTGTATTTTGTAAGTATTTGTTAAAACATGAAAATTATGACTACTTTTGCAGTGCTTAAGCGCCGAAAAAGTGCTCAGATCATCACGAAATATAGACCAACCGACGCAGAAAAAAAAATCCAATCTAACGATATATACCTAGTCAGGTCATAAATTCTGTCACATGTTTAATATAAAATAATTGAAACAAGTTTATTCATTATGTAACCATTTATATACCAAAATGAACTTAACAAAACATAGATTCTTATGACACTAAAGTTTATTCAAAATGACCTCCGTGATTTTAAATACAGGCCTTCAATCTGCGCGGCCAGTCGTCTATCGCAGCACGAACGAGGTCCATGTCAATATCGGCAGCTGCCTTAATCAAGGATGTCTTAAGTGACTCCAAATTGGGATGAGGCTTTGAGCACGCCTTTTCCTCCAAGTGTTGCCATATCTTGTAATCTAACGGATTCAAATCTGGACTGGAGGAGGGCCAGTCTTCGTGCCGGATGAAGTCGATTTCACGCGCCGTTGTGTGGTCTTCGCTCTATGAGCTGGCGCCGAATCTTGTTGAAATACCGAGTGCCTGTTATTGAACATGGTATGAGAAACAGGTTCCACAAGATTCGTCGGGACTGTATTTTGATACACAGCTGCATTCGTTTTTACACCTTTCTCAAAAAATGTACCTCTGTTAAGGCCCAATAAGAAACTCCCAACCATACCATGAGCGAGGATGGAAAATGACCTCGTTGGACACGCGGAATACGGTTGCTCGCTTCTTCACTACTGTGTGCGTACACTTTATCATTTTGTTTGTTGTAGCTCTCTTCTACGGTAAACATTATTTCATCCGAAAAAAGAATTTGCGGATATTTTTTTCCCGCGTACCGCTTCAACAAAGCGCGGCATCTCGTCAGTCTCAGGTCCATTAGACGAGCATTCAAACGATGTCCTGTTTTTCTTCGATATGCCCGAAGCCCTAAGTCTTCATTTAACACCCTTTTCACCGTGGTTCTGCTTAACCCCATCTGAAGGGCCAACAGTTTCTGCTTACACAGCTTTTATCACTGCTGGAGTCCTAACAGACCGAGGGCGACCACTTCTTGACCTGTCATCTACACTAGAGTCTTCATTGTATCGTTTGATGGTACGATAAACGAATCTTTTGGTTATATTCAAATTTTTCAGTATGTCAAAAATTTGAATTGGCGTGTAACCGCAACGATGCAACGCAATAACTGCAACACGGTCTTCTTTAAGCGTCCACTCCATATTTAAAAATGAGTAAAATTCTAAAAAGTATACAGTTTTATTTTCATGAACAATACGAAATTCGAATTCAATAAACCTTTTTGTGGCCAGCATTCTAAAAGAAAAGTTTTTACTGTGTGACAATACTTATGACCTGACTAGGTATAACTCATTTTGGTCAAAATGGCGCTTAAGTAGTATTGGCTTTCCAGTGACGATATGTTAAAATACTATGAACTCTAAAAGATTGCACCTCTGTCTATTATAATATCAGACCAACAAAGAAAGAAAAACAGAACACTACGTACATTTCAAGTGACACCGAAAGCGAAAGTAAACAATATATGATGTTTTTTGGTTTCTTCGTTACTATAAATGTATGGTAGTGTTCAGTCTATCTTTCTTTGATGATCTGAGATTACAATAGATACAGGCAGCCCTTGCAGTATTTTGGGGATAGAATATTTTTACCTGTATATATATAAAATATATTTGCTTTGTTTTAAATATTATGCCACTACAACACAACTGTAACTAGCAGCCAGTACCAGTAAGAAAAAAAAAACTAGGAAACGTCAGCTTCGTGACAGTGAACGTAGATGTGGCTATGGCATAAAATGTAAATGACATATTGTATTACTTACGTATGATCACAGATGTAAGCGATGTCCGCGCGCTTCAACGGGTCTACTGTGAGCATGTCTCTAATCAATGGCGACGCAGCTGAAAATAAAAAATATCAATTTGATCGTGTGACCCTGTGCAGCTAAAACCTAAAATAATGGTTGGATTCTGCATTGGAGATTATCACACATATTTGCTTTACATTACTACAACTTGTTTTTATTTGATACGATTTTAGAACTTGATATTATATAACATTTTGATAAAATACTCAACAATTCTTAAACATAACCTTTCACAGTTACAATTTTAGATGAATATATACAGTCATGGAAATATTCTAAGACTGATTTTTAAGTAACTTAATTAATTCTAATCTAATTTTAGTGTGAGACTAATGGTTTAATTTAATTTTCTTTTGATAAAAAGGAGATATATTCCGACGTTTAAGAAGTTACTTACTAGAAGGATTCTTAGGTTCGTAGTAATCGCCGTTGCTGATTTGTCGGACTAGACGCTTGAAGTTAGAGCCGTCGAACGGCATAGCTCCGTAGACTAGGGTGTACAGCAGCACCCCCAACGACCAACAATCCACCTGATGGAAACAAAGTGATTAAAACCTATTTAAAAATATTTCTGTGCATTTGCCCTCTCTTCGTTTTAATGAAATGAACAAAGACAAAATATTGTATATATATATTAAGCTTGTGAGAAACCATTATAACAGAATAGTATAACAGAACCCAAAAAATCGTAATCAATGATAAAGGTTCCTTCGTATCGGTAGTTCCTTAAGGCTCGACTCTTGGCCCATTCTTGTTCTTAATCTATATTAATGACTTACCTTATCTTGTAGGGGACAATCACGATATAGTATTATTTGCTGATGATACCTCTTTCATTTTCGAACACGAACGACAGTCAATTAATATTAGTAGTAGTACATTGGTTTAACGCCAATTATTTGTTATGACAAAATGTACTAAATTTATAATAACTAATGTTAAACATTCTAATACCAATGTGTTCTTAAATAGGTAGTAGTCTTGTGAATACCGCTGTTTTTCTTGGTATTACTATTGTTGCGTAGCTTCAATTTCCTATATATCTAAATTAACAGGCAGACTTAGTTCTGCAGCATATGCTGTAAGAAAAATTAGAAGTCTCACCAATGTTAAGACAGCTAGATTAGTTTATTTTAGTTACCTTTATAGCGTGGTCTTAAGGAATTTTTGCTATGGGGTAATGCGACTGACATTGAATTTGATTGAATTGATAATTGTTTTGCAAAATAGAACTGTATGGGCGATTTATAACTTAAATTGTAAAGAGTCCCAAAGAGAACAATTTTAAAAAATAAACATTAACTTCGGCATCGCAATATATTTATGAAAATGTAATGTATGTACACAAAGACATCAATAGTTTTGATAAGAATAAAGATGTTCATACTTTAAAAACTAGGAACAAACATAATCTTGTAATGCCAGTTAGTTGAATCCACAGAAATAGTAATTCATTTATGGGACAATGTAAACGCTGCTTTTACAACAAAATCCCAGAAAATGTATAAAAATTGTCAATAAACAAGTTTAAATATTTTATTAAAGAAAAATTGTACAAAAAGGGTTATTATAATATCAAGGAATACATAACAGAAAAAATCCCCTGGGAATGAGCTGATCGCCACCATGTCGGATCAATAAAAATTTATTTAAAAATTGTGCAAACAAAATTATTGCAGTGTTTAAAAAAAAAGTCCCGCTGGGTTTCTTTTTAAATACTCCCATTATATAAGTAATAGGTATTGTCCGAACCAGTGGTAAATAAATAAATTACTTTCAATAAGTATTATGTAATAATCTATATTGAATAAAAATCATTTTATTCTATTCATACCAATATCCAAGGAATTTTAATGGACAAACATATATTTGGAATAAATATTTGTGTGACTTATAAATCGGTTGTTCTGGACTAGGTATTTGTCTATGTTCAATTTAAACATTATATGAAACGCCCAAACAAATCATTTATGTGGGGTAGTTTTATTACCGTTATTTTAATTGTGACAAAGGCTAGTGACCAAAACCAGAATCGCTTTATAATAAAACAGTATAGCCACAAAAATATACTCATAAATTATAAAACTTTTTTTTAACTTTTCTTAGTTAACTTGATCAAAATCGCATGTGGGGTTAATATTTTGTATCTAATTAGTTATATATTCGATTTTATTGCATTATTACTTTAGAGAAAGCAGTGTTGCCAATTTTAAGAACCTCCTCATAATTGGTCTTAACTGATAGTGTAAGAGCAAACGCTGATTTTAAAAATAGTTTCTACTATGACATTTTCCGCGTTATTAATATTTTTAATTAACATAATTAAAATAATATTACTTAACTAAATAAAACTTCCAGCCCCCCGAACAAGCCGGTTTCCGAAAAGGCTTTAGCACCATAGACCACACACTTACCTTCGGCAAATTGTACAGAAGTGCGAGGAGTACAATTTGCCAATATGTCTAGCGTAAGTGGACTATGAAAAAGCCTTTGATTCCGCCGAAATTTGGGCGCGGTGCTGCGGTACCTTCAACGGTGCCAAGTTGACTGTCGGTATATCGAAGTGTTGAAGTATTTGTAAGGTAGGGCTATTCGAGTTCGATGACTATTCGAGTACGAAACCTATCCAACTGCAGAGAGGTGTAAGACAGGCGGTGACGGTATTTCTCCGAAACTGTTCACTGCTGCATTAGAAGACGTTTTCAAGTCACTGGACGGGAAAGGATACGGTATTAACGTCAATGGCGAGTATATCACTCACCTTCAATTTGCCGACGATATAGTCCTTATGGCAGAATCGCTGGAGGACCTAAGCACTATGCTCAGTGACCTCAATAGTGTCTCCCAACGGATAGGTCTTAAGATGAACATGGACAAAACAAAAGTCATGTGTATCGTCCATGTCACACCTATGCCGGTAGTTGTTAGGGACACTAAGCTAGAAGTTGTTGACGAGTATGTTTACCTGGGACAAATAGTCCGACTATTACCTAGTCCAACTTCGACCGAGAGGTTAATCGACGAATTCAACTCGGCTGGGCAGCGTTCGGGAAATTACGGCATATCTTCTCGTCAGGTATACCTCAAACTTAAAAACTACTGTATAACACGCACTGGGTGTTGCCAGTGATGACCTATGGAAATGAAACGTGGTCCTTCACTGCTGGCCATATGAGGAAGCTCAAGGTCGCTCAGCGAGCTATAATGGGCACTGCTGGGGGTTTCTCTGCGTGATAAACTTAGAAATGAGGATATCCGCAATAGAACCAGAGTAACTGACATAGCCCAAAGGATTAGTAAGCTGAAGTGGCAATTGGTCAGCCATATAGCTCGAAGAACCGACAACCGATGGGAAAAAAAGGTTCTCGAGTGACAGCCTCGTACCGACGGACGAAGTGTAGAGCGTCCCCCCACTAGATGGAGTGACAACCTGGTAAGACATGCAGGAAGTCGATGGATGCAGGTGGCTCAGGACCGTGCTATGTGCTTTGGGGGAGGCCTATGTTCAGCAGTGAACTTGTGAGGGCTGTAATGATGATGATGTTGAACTAATTAAAAATCTTTCTTTAGTTGAGAAATCACTCACTTATGATCAGGGTGATTTAGATTAACTGTTGGTAACACTACCACGGGCAAATGAAAGGTGAACTGTCAAGTGTCACTGTCAAGTCAAACAAAGCATCGATTCGGCGCTATTTCATTCCTATAATCAAGCATTATTATTTTCTACTTCCTACATCTACAAACCAATTACATTTAGTATGACCTACCTACCATTGTAATATTATTTACTTGGGATCATTCATTGGTTTGTTGGAACTATTTTCTGTTGTCTTATGTGAATTCAAATGATGTTGTTCTAAGGACTTCTTTTTTGGTAGAAGGTTTGTTATAAAACTAACCTCAACACTGAAAAGAAAATCAAAGAACAACAAAACCCACATAAAATAAATAGATAATTTTTATTTCCTTGGAAAGTATGATTTTTACCTTCTTTTATATCCAATTTATGCGGTCACACAAAAATGTTTTGGGCGCAACGGCTGTCCATAAAAGTATGAGTCTTTAAGATCTCCTTTGTTTTTTGGATAAAACTAAAGTTAAGGATTTTATTGTGTTTAATTTAACTTATTTATACTTACTTTAACTATCTTTCTTAATTAAGCTAAGATATTGTGCTATGTTAAAAATGTTTGGAAAATCACACATGAATTAAAGACGATATAATATTATATACAGACTTTATCTTTTTGACGTATTATATCGTCTTTTCCCTCCCGGCATTTTTTGCTATGCATTATTAAAGGAAAGGCAGTGTCGCTCTATTAACAAGATATTAACAAAACATTTTTTATTCTAACGTTTCTGTAGACATTTGCTTTTTCAAATACGCCATCAGGTTTTTAAGAGTTGCCCATACTCAACACGCTGGCCGTGAGATCTGTGTCCAGCATTTTGGATTGAACGTTTGTTAATCGCCAGAAACTCACCAGATAACAACAAACGCATTTTGGGAAAAATATTTTATAAAGTTAGCCCTATCATCTATATACAAATAAATAAAATTGAAGTAAAAGTAAAGTTGCAGCCTATTTACGACCCACTGCTGGGCACAGGCCTCCTCTCATTTCTGAGAGGGTTTTAGGGCAAGGAAATTTCCGCCGCGCTGCCCCAATATTGGCGAACCGCCCGCGTATTGGCGAACTTCACATGTCTTCGAAATATTTTTTTCTTATTTCTCAGACATGCAGGTTTCCTCACGATGTTTTCCTTCGAGCACGTGGTAAATCAGCACTTGCTCACACTGCAATTAACAATTTCATTGGTGCCGGCGGAGATAGAACCCGGGTTGCTTGAGTACTGTGAAGCTTACAGCGAGCGCTAACTATCTGAGCTACCACGGCAAAATTGAAGTGTCTGTTTGTAATGTTAAAATAACAGCTTTTTACTAAATGCATATGAAAGTGTATACGATACTCATAACAAAAACACTATTTCTAAAATTTTTGTCTGTCTATCTGTTTGTTCCGGCTAATCTCCGAAACGGCTGGACCGATTTGGACGGGACGTTCACTGGCAGATAGCTGATGTTATAAGGAGCAACTTAGGCTAAAGAATTGGGGTTCCGCGCAACATAATTAAAACTCTAAATTACACACGGGCGAAGTCGCGAGGAACAACTAGTATTAATATAATCGAGCTACGGTTTGGCGAACGCAATATCAAACGCCGTAAACGTTTAATTATCCTATCTATAATCTAATCCTATGTCTTAAATCCTATTTTTCAAAATGTTTCATTTACTATACATAAAGAGGAACGGGTTTTTCTCATATAAATTTATATAACAAACACATAATATGAAAATAGTTTTACGCCGCTATCACTATGTCTAATGGTTTCACCGTTTCTTTATTACCATTTTCTAACAAGCAATTGTTGTCTTTATTTAAAATTTAAGGTCTACAGTATAATGTCATGGTAAAAATTGTTTGCTCAAAGCTAAAAAGATGCAGTGATATACAAATTGTTATTTTTTAGAAAATCCAAGTAAAAAATTAAGTTCCAGTCGACTTTATAGTAAGTGGCCACTGTAGCCCATGGACATCTGTGTCCAAATTGAAATAAAGAAGTTCTTTGAGGATTAAGATGGAATGCCTCACAGCCTATACTGGCTCTTAATACCCTTCAGACCGGAACCCAGCAGTGCAGAGATAGTTAAGAAGGTGGTACCTACCCAGACCCAGAAAAGGATTCGTAACACCCAGCGTGTAATTACCTCAGGCCCGATATATGGTGTCCCTTTAACAATTTCGGGTGATGCGTAGAGCGGCGAGCCACAAAACGTAGACAGTAATGAAGTCTCTTTAAAAACGTTTGACAGGCCAAAGTCTGCAATCTGTAAAATAATAAACGTACATGTTAATAATTTATCTTCATTAAAGATTTATCTTTTCTGTGTTCTGTAGTTATATTTGTTAAAACTTACAATATGCCATTATTATAGGAAAACTATATATGCCAGGTGTAATGTTAATACACATACTATGATATAAACGATTTATTTACAATCGAAGGTAAGGCATAGACAATATTGTAGAAATCACTACAGATTATTGATAGATACCCAAAGTTATGAAAACCATGCATAAGATCTAATAATCGTTAGTTTATAAGCTGTAATGATTGAGATGAAATTTTTATTGTTTTTTTTTTGCTGTTTTCAAAGATCTTTAAGAGTTAATTAAGAATTAATTTACTCTTCTGATTTCAAATGTGATATATAAATTGTAAAAAAACCAACCTTAGCACTACCAGTGTCGTCCAGTAAGACATTTTCTAATTTTAAATCTCTATGGCAGATCTTGTGTATGTGACAGTAGTAAACAGCTGTCGCGATCTGTCGGAATAACCTGAAGCAAAATGGGAATATCAGACAAATAATTTATAGGAAAGGCAATAAATTTAAAGAATATTTCATAAACATTGTAATTTTCAAAATCTTCGTTATTTTTATACTATTAAACGAAAAAGTTATGTAACATTTATTCAAAGACAAAGTCATAAACTTTTTTATTTCATTTAGCCTTGTTTAAAACTTTCACGAACGTAAAAATACACTGGTTCGTAAAAAAATAATTTCTTAGAGAGTTCAACAAAAATAAACAGTTCGGGCCTAGTCGTCATAATGAAGTCAATATAATCTTTGTCAAACCTGGGCTTTTCGGGGTCCACTTTCCGTGGTGTTTTCTTAACTCTTAACGGGACTGTGGATCATGTGGACATCATCATTCGACCCGAGGGTGAATGAATCACAGGTCGAGCCAAAAAATTAGATATGAGTAAGGCCGAAATCTGTATCGATATTCAGTCGCAGTCAATAATAAGATTTAATTTGAAATTTACTAAAATAAATACTATAACTTTCCATTTACAATGTGACATTTTAAACGGTTCAAACTAATAACGGTTTTACCTTCTGGCTTCATCTTCTTCTAATACTTTCTTTTGACTGAGGTAGTCGTACAATTCTCCTCCAGAACAGTACTCCATCACAAGTATCATCTTCTCGCTATTTTCAAATACTGAAACATAAAAATAACTAAACTAAATATCGCTATAATCGTTAATCGGGAAGTTAACAAAGTTTAGACGTTATTTATATAAGCTTTTATTTATCAACACAAAGTGTGCTAAGGGCCGTCGTACAATGTAACAACTCAAAACCTCATTCTATTTAGTCGTAGAAATGTGGGAAATATTATGCTATAGCTTATAGATTAATTATACTTTACTTAAATCAAAAGACCACGTCATCTTTTACTAGGTGTTAAAAAAGGTTACTTCCTTTCTGACTACGTCGAACGTCTGGGTTGGTATCACACTTTTACGTATATTTGCCACAAAAAGCAATTCGTGCACTGTTGCGTTTTAGTCTTAAAACCCTTCACACCATAAGGGCATTCCATCTTAGTCCTCAAAGGTTACAATGCACCTATAGCCGTCTTTAAAGGAAGTTAGTTACAGGTTTCCATGGGCTGCAGGAGCTACTTACCGTCAGGTGGACTGTAAGTTTGTCATTCGTTTGTCACTTCAATTTAAAAAAAAATCGTATTCTACTTTCATTCAATATTACAAAAAAATCATAGGTACGTGACATAAAACGAATTACAGTCTACTGTATTTCCGCCGATTATCCGAATTAATTAGGACCGGGGTCGATTCGGATAATCGAAAATTCGGATAATCGGACATAGTATGTAATATAGAAAAACGAACTGTCACACATAGAATAAACTTTATTAAGTTTATAAATGGTTTTACACTTTATAAAGTTTTATAAAGTGTAAAACCAGCTACACTCATTTTATCACTGAACATTCGCGCCTTTTCACATAAAATCGATCCTGAAATCGGTTGTCCAATAGATCGTTGCTGCAGAAACCACGTAAGAAAAACATTCTCAAGCTGTTCATCCTTTGCCTTTTTCATTACTTTTCGCGAAGAACATACATCACCAGTTTCCAACGCAGTCACAAAACTTGAAATTTTTTCAGTTATTTTTAATATCAGTTAACCAAGAACTGTAAGTAAGTAACGTTACTTACTTACAGTACTTGGTTTTAATTTTTTATATTACGCTTAGGTAAGTAGGTAAGTCCAACTTCGACCGAGAGGTCAATCAACGGATTCAACTCGGCTGGGCAGCGTTCGGGAAGCTACGACATATTTTCTCGTCAGACATACATCAAAACCTTAAAAAAAATTGTACAACCAGTGCGTGTTGCCAGTGATGACTTACGGAACTGAGACGTGGTCCTTCACTGCTGGCCGTATGAGGAAGCTCAAGGTCGCTCAGCGAGCTATGGAGAGGGCTATGCTCGGAGTTTCTCTGCGTGATAAACTTAGGAATGAGGATATCCGCAGTAGAACCAGAGTAACCGACATAGCCCAACGGATTAGTAAGCTGAAGTGGCAGTGGGCCGGCCATATAGCTCGAAGAACCGACAACCGATGAGGAAGAAAGGTTCTTGAGTGGCAGCCTCGTACCGGTAGGCGAAGTGTAGGGCGACTCCCCACGAGATGGAGTGACGACCTGGTAAGACATGCAGGAAGTCGATGGATGCAGGTGGCTCAGGACCGTGCTTTGTGGCATTCCTTGGGGGAGGCCTATGTTCAGCAGTGGACTTATGAAAGGCTGTAATGATGATGATGATGAATTTTAAACTCCCTAAACTTTATTATTTTTGTAGACAGATCGTACATACACATGTCATTCCATAGGGTGGCCGTACAATTATAGCTATTACCGCCGGTATGGAATTTAATCCTTCATTTTAGCAACATCGCCCGACGGTATAATTATTATTAGAAGACTAAAAGGAGCAAGCGACGACATAATTTAATATGACCGCGTGAAACGTTCATGTAATACATGAGATTTGGATTTGTAACAAGTGGATATCAATATAATTAATCAATAAAATAAATAAAATTGAAGTGTCTGTTTGTAACGTCGAAATAACAGCTTTTTACTATATGCATATGAAAGTATGTACGGTACTTATAACAAAAACACGATTTTTAACATTTTTGTCTGTCTGTCTGTTTGTTCCGGCTAATCTCCGAAACGGCTGGACCGATTTTGACCAGACTACAAAAATAATTAGAGTTCCGCGCAAAAAATTAAAACCCATAAAATCTAATCGTAATAAATTACGCGCGGGCGAAGTCGCGGGGAATAACTAGTTATAACTATTTAAGTCCATCGCATGTCTACTGCTAAACACAGGCATCTCCTAAGGAAGGAATGACTATAAATAATGATGCAATTGTTATGAAATTCGGTATTTATTCTAATAACGAGTGTCTTAATCAGTATAGGTATAAAATTCCCCCCCCCCCTCCCCCTCCTCCCGAACCCCATCATTCCATGAACTTATTGAATCGTACTCTATACAACTCATTTATGCTTCCTCCATTCACACTCACAATTTGCTATGTTTAAGACGAAGAAGGATCTAAATTCATGAAGTAACTTATTTACCATTTTGACTAGCTCACCTTCGTAAATATGGACGATGTTGGGATGCCTCACAGAGGACATGATCTGTACCTCGCGGCGGATGCGAATGAGATCGGCTTCCGATTCGATTTTGCATTTTTTGATGGTCTTGATCGCGACCTCTTGTCCAGTCTTCTTGTTTATACCCAGCTGCACCTTGCCGTATGTGCCTTGTCCTAATTTTCTAACTATGTCAAATCTATAACAAAAAGAGAAGAATAATGTAGAAAATTTATCATATCTAAATGTAGGGAACATTATATACGTGGTAGTGTCACGCTGCAACGTATTAGAACGTATTATGTTTCCGAAACGTATGGCTCGGCTAGACCGGCATAGGATAACACCGCATCTGCATTTTGTGTTTGGTTTCTAATTGAGAATAGATGAAGGTTACATCTATGAAGCACGGCATTCACTTACCATCACGTGGACTGTGTGTTCGTTTGTCACCCTTAGTTCTATATAATACTTTATTAGAAGAAAATTACTATACATGTCCCGATTGAGCCTCAGTTCCTAAACTAGGAATAATAATATTTCTACTTAATTTTATTGAATTATCTTTAAAATGTTCAAATTAGTAGAAATAAAACATAAAAATGTGTCATTAGTGTAGTACTATCGGGTTTTTTTCTTAATTTGTGCTTGCGTTATTCTATGTCAACGGGAAGCAGGTACGTATCGTTTTGATAAGTGTGCAAGTATCAAAATATTTGGCCGTATCTTTTGATTGCGTTGACTTATAAGCTTGAATATTTCTTACCTCCAAGAGATGGTCTCTTATCGGAATTAATATTTGATAGTAAATTTCAACCTGATGGATGACCTGTATTCATCAGGTGGAAATTCCTAAGAAAAAGCGTCTTATCAGTACGTCAGACGGATGGACAACAAAGTGATACTAGATAAAGGTTTAGTTTTTTCCTTTTGAGGTTCGATAGTATTCATAGTAAATGCATAAAAATAGTACGAGGGGCATACTGAAATGATCGGGAATAGAATATTTCGGATTGAGTTACAATAAAACCTTTTTTAGAATTTGAATACTGGCCTCTTAGAATCTTAATGACATTCAAACAATTAAAAAAATGTTTAAAAACAAAAACTATGTTGGTTTAAAGTTGACCACGTCGTTAACAGAAATGGATGCCATAATTTATCACAATTTTTAAATGTTGTGTTGTTTATTAAATGTCTCAGCGAACATGTTTCGATTTATGATGTTGAAGCACCGAGTGCAAACGACAATATACCGCTGGTATACCGAGTTCCGACGCGGTCGTGTGTCGCTCAGCACTGTTTCTTCTGCAGGTCGACCAAGAACAGCGGTCACGCCAGAAAACATCGCAGCTGTGCGAACTATTATATTAGATGACCGTCATGTGACATACGAGCAGATACGGGCTGTTATCAGTATCGGAATGACTGCAATTCAGTCGATATTACATAATGAGCTGTGTGTAAGAAAGCTAGTTTCCCGCTGGGTTCCCCACAATTTGTCCGAAAGGCAAAAGGCGGCTCGTGTAGATTGGTGCCGGAATACTCTGCAACGCTTCAACGGAGGGAAGTCAAATGCCGTTTATAATATCGTCTCAGGTGACGAATTATGGATTTATTCATACGAACCTGATAGAAAACATCAGTCAGCAGTTTGGGTTTTCCAAGACGAAGTCAAACCAACGAAAGTGGTTCGCTCCCGCAGCGTGTCAAAGAAAATGGTCACTACGTTTGTCTCGAAAAAGGGGCATGTTGCTACAATTCCTTTACAGGAACGCAGAACCGTTACCGCTGAGTGGTATATCACGGTTTGTTTGCCAGAAATGATAGCCGAACTCCGAAAAAATAACTCGAAACTTCGCATCATCTTACATCACGATAATGCGAGCTCCCATACGGCTCGGAAGACAAATGATTTTTTGAAGCAGAAAAACGTTGAGCTGATGAGCCATCCTCCGTACAGTCCTGACCTGAGCCCAAACGTTTTCTTTACATTCCCTAGAATGAAAGATTTATTACGCGGTCAACGGTTTGAAGACCCCGAAGCAACTGTGGAAGCGTACAAATCAGCCATTTTGTCAACATCAACTTCAGACTGGAATTACTGTTTTAATGATTGGTTTGCACGAATGGAAAAGTGCATTAAGCTGAACGGAGAATACTTCGGAAAAACAATAAAATACAATTTAGCTATACCGTGCATGTGGGTTTTCTTATTCCCGATCATTTCATTGTGCCCCTCGTATTCATAGCAAATGTATTCTATAAAAAAATGCACATTTTAAATTTTATTTTGAGATATGAATTGAGTTGAGTTGATTATATAGAATATTTTACCAAAATATCAAACCCTATCTGCCCACGGTGATTCAATGCTGAGTGCTGACTGAACATGCAAAACTCTAGTCTAGATGATATAATAATAAATATAATAAAATAATATGTTATAAGTAAATGATTTGTGAAAATTGCGTATTGGGGACAAAAAAATGGTGTTTACAACGTGGAAATGCAAGGGTAACACGGAAAGCATAAAGCAATTAAAATATTTCATACTTCGTGCACTCATATAATTTTAAAACAAATCGCACTTTGTAATAAAAAGCTGGCATAGTAATTAAACCGGTTACAATTTACATTTCACAATAGAAAAAATGACAAGAAAACTGTAACGAAGTAACAAAATAAATTCGCCACTATGACACGCAGCAATAAGATTTAAGACACGACAGTAAATAAACAGCGCAGGTTTACTTGTAACGCAGATTAACGAGCATTTAGCACGCAACTCTCACTACAAAGCACTTGTGATAATTTGATGTCAATGCTACACGCTAAACTGGTAGTGTTAGACCATTTGCCAATGTAAACACTACCGTCCGCATACCGATTGCGTTATGCTTGATATTATGTTTAGCGTCCTGATGCTAAAGGGTGCATGCAAATAACTGTATTACGTATTCACTCATTCATTACAGCCTTTCAAAAGTCGACTGCTGAACAACGGCCTTCCTTGTCACGTTTGGCAGGCGGGATGGCGACCGCAGTTTTTTTTTATTGCAGTTGTCATGAGGAAGACGGCTAGTGGTCATATGCGCGTGACCGTTGATCATGAGGTGAATCTCGGGTCGAGATTCACCTCATGATCAACGCTATTAGGTTTTTCTGTCAACAAATTCTCAGTAACAGCCCGGAGTCAGGAAGTTGGCGCTGTTTCAACCCCGTGCCTCGGAAAGCACGTGAAGCTAATGGTCTTGCGCCTGATCTCTTTCCGGTGGTGTCGGATTTATCTCCCATCGTACTATGAAAGTTAGGGAACAGAAAGTGCACCTGTGTTTGCGCACTCACTAGTGCACCAAATTCCCGTCCTGCGTAGATGGCTAATCTCCGTTCAGACTGTGACCGTAATTCGGTCTGTACGACATTAATAAGGTACGTATAATTACATTCTTAGAAAACTCACTGTGCATATTTAGTGGGTAGGATATCTGATATCTGAGTCGTGCCTCCTGAGCTGTTTTTGTGTCTAACACTGCAGCTGATCAAAACGAAAGTTGTGGACGACACACACACACATTCCACAACTTTAATTTTCGACCCCACGCTTATTTACAATAAAATGAATAATTTATGTTAATCACTATTTTTTTATTTCAAACTTATTGAAAATTATTTTCTACTTTTAGTTCGGTTATATATGTTTTTTTTTGTTAGTTTTTTTAAACTATTATTTATTTTCATAATTATATAGAACTGTAATCCATACTCCCTTCCTTTTAGGTTTAGGGCATTTTGTTAAAGCTGGCAAAATGAGCACATATTATATCGATTACGAATGCAATTGTGTTGTCACTCCTGGTGGAATGCCTCGTTACCTGGAGAATGGGTCTCTTACAGTATTTCCGCGGTTGAGCCAACATATTTGTGCTGCAGCCTTAAAGCAGCAGCACCTCATGTCATTGTGCTGTATCAAAAGTAAAATGTTAATTACCATTGAGACTGAAACTATGCAAATACGAAGTCTCGCTGAACTATCTTATGCGCCAGAATTTAAATAGGAAATGCTAGAGCTAATAAACAGATACCAACATGTGATCTACACTCGTGTTATGTGCCAAGAAATAGCATTCATTTCCTGTCAGTTTGTCTACACTTCATAATTATTGTCGTTGGAAAATGATATACGTGTGTTGCATTCATAACAAGGCCTAAATTCTATAGAATTTCAGAAACACACAACACATCATTTTCTTAATTTAACGTATAGACGTTTTAGAATATTGAGCTGACTAGCTGACACATTTTATATTACTGGAAACCACTAGTGAGTATACTCGGTCCACGAAATCAATTTTTAATACTTACATGAAATTGTTAAAAAAATATTCAAAGATAAGATGCGTATATTATAGTCCCATCTAGCATCATCCAACTCTTATATATTATAATAATTGATATTCCAATTTCTTTAATAGCTTTAATCGAGCTAAAACCTAAGAGAAAGAAAAAATTAACAAGTAGAATGGCTATTTATTTCTTTATGTACAACGTTTTCAAAGTCCTACATATAGTTTTTGTATTCTAGTAACAGAAAGCTCCTATACTATGACCGTCTGACGTCATGGGCAACCTTAACGCTTGTGGGTTTCCAAGGTACCAATTCTTAAAACTCGGCCATGAGTGGGTTGCTAACGCGTTTATAGTCGAATAACTAAAAATGAATGTATCTAAAAAGACATGGCATCCGGTAGATGGCGGTATAACTAAGTCTTTAAGCCAGGCGTAAAATATCTACGACGGGGAGCAGTGTCAAAGGTGCGGGATGTCTCTAACTGCGATCGCTATTCCGTCTGCCCAGCATGGTGATTAGGGCAAATCTTGCGTACAACAAGATAGGTACAGGTCCAGCAGTGGACATTTACGGGCTTATGATAAATAAGAAGTCACCATGCAAGCGAAATGGTCAAGACTCTAAAATATAATGACATAATACTCGAAGTCCGAAGCGTTCGGGAGATTACGATATTTTCTCTTTACGTATTCTTTAAACCCTAAAACTGTACAACCAGAGCGTGTGTCAGTGATCATATCCGATGTTACAAGCGTTCCTTTACATTGTATAATGTGTTATTTTACAATTGTGTATTCTTTTGGAGGCACTTGAAGATAGTCAATCTATACAAATAAATAAAATTGAAGTGTCTGTTTGTAATGTCAAAATAACAGCTTTTAACTAAATGCATATGAAAGTGTATACGGTACATATAACAAAAACACAACTATTAAAATTTTTGTCTGTCTGTCGATCTGTCTGTCTGTTTGTTTGTTCCGGTGTTTGTTTGTTAGCAAATATAATACTTTAACTTTTCGATTAAAAGACATAGGTGTCTGCTTTATTGGGTGATTAGTAAAAACATATTTTAAAACTAAGTTAAAGACGTTAAGAAATTCCAACACCTCCAGCACAAATAAACAAGGAAAATGAAATCGAGATTAAGCGACAGACATAATGTAAAGAGCAAGTATTGAGTATATTAAAGATAACGTTGGCTTTAACCCAAAATAGATTTATTAGGGGCTAGCACCTACGATAAATAAGCGTGAAGTTCCGTGCAATTAAATCATATTTTGGATGTCAGATGAGAGCGTCAGCTTTTTTTTATTAAATAAAATTATAAAGTGACTTACGGCATTATCTTTCAAGTTAATTATTAAAATATGATAGGTTTGATCATTCGAACATAATTCTTAGCAAGGAGTGCTCTCATAAAATTGCTTTTCAAAAAATTACAATAGAAAGAGACAGGTAATACTTAATTAAAGAAAGTTGTAATCAACTATTACGAGTAAAAGTAAGGCCAATACTCTCCAACTAGACCAACTTAAACATACGGACAACAAACTTTGCCTAATTGTTTCCAAGGAACGACGAGTGTTTTTTCGGCAACAACAAACAAAGCATAAATATTTGTTTGTTGTTTTTTTTTTCACCAAAGGAGTGGAATAATTTGACAGCATCTGTCTTTCCATTCCATTTCGCATTCATCCGATTATAATAGGTGTCTTCAAGACTTTTGTTGAGCTAAGTCTATGCGTTTCCTGGGCGCCCCTTAACGGATACTATAGCTCCGGACCTGCTAGAGAGGGTGATAAGCACGCTCTTTACAGGACTGTGCAAGTCCCTCAGATCACCTGCTGTCGTTATGTGAGTGGCAGGATGAGGTGAGGTGACCGAGCAGTTGCTGGACCGAGCCGTTAGCCGCTTGAGAGCCCGGAACACTGCTCTAGGCTCCGAGGGAATCCCGGGTCGGGTTTTAGTGATGAATCTTGCTTCCCTTGGGGACAGGCTTAGCCAACTGTTTATCGGCTGTCTGCGGAGTACCAAGTACCCTACAGCCTGGAAAAAGGGAAGGTTTCTCCTCTTGAAGAAGGAAGGCTAAGCCGCCGATTCTCCTTCTGCGTACCGTCCCATATGAATGTTGAACGAGATTGGGAAATTGTTTGAAAGGATGGTTTCCACTTGGCTGAACGGACATCTGTCGGTCCTGATTTGGCTGATAGCCAGTTCGGATTCGGAACAGCAAGCTGCTACTGTGGAACCTCGCCTATGATTCGATTCTACGAGTCGACCTTCCCGCTGGCGTAGATATCATTTGCTATGCCGACGATAAGTTGGTGGTTGCCAGCGGGATCACCTTCGAGGGCCAAGGAGCTCGCCGAGCTTGGGGCGGAAATCGTCGTCGCCAAAATCCACGAGCTGGGATTAGAAATAGCACCTCACAAGATTGAGGCCCTATGGTTTTATAAATTACGACGCGGCAGGGAACCACCCGACAAGTGAAATCCGAGTGGGACGGTATATGAGGTACCTAGGCCTCCACCTGGATAGTCGCTGAGGCTTTGAAGAAAACTTCGAGCGCCTAATCGGTGCTATGCATAGACTGCTGACCAATCTAGGGGGACGATACGTTACGTACGTACGCCTTTTACGGGGCGCCTGTATGAGCGAAAAGGCTGGCCATCCGACGCTGTAGAACTAAAATCTACAGTGTACAGCGGAGGATGGCAATACGGATCGTGCGGGGATACAGTACAATTTCGTTTGAGACGGCTACACAATCCTGGCTCGCTTTCCACCTTTGGACATTCTAGTGGACATGGACGCGAGTGGTGAAAGTGAGGCAGATTAGGCGTTAATGGAGGTTAAGCGGCAGGAACTAGTTTTCGCATTCGCAACGTATCGCGCTTGCCTCTGTGAGGAGCGTTAGGCGCGCCAAAGCGTTGCTGAAGCAATCCTGTCGCATTTCGAAGCCTGGATGTATAGACAGGCAGGGTGACTCACCTACAGACATACACAGATAATTACTGGGCATGGGCACGGGTGCTTCGGTTATTTTTTATATTTGTGTAAGATCGGACGCGAACTGCTTCCACTGCGGGGCGGGACCAGGCCTCCACGTCCTATACAGATCCCACGTCTAGCGTGGGAACGGAAGCGGACGATCCTTGTGAACCAAATCGGACGAAACCTCTGTGTTGTAATAAAAATCAACTTTGTAAAGTGATAAAAATTTGATACACACACACATACCTCTGTTTGAGACGTAGTCTATGATCGTGTAGCCGCACGTCGCCGGTGTTCTCGATTCCGTCCATAATGTTGGCAGTACGCTTGGTTTCGCCTACCACCATTTTGTCTGAAACAAATGCATAGCAACATTACTAAAATAATTTGAGATTATATTGAATAAGCAAATATACTGTCTTTTATTTATATCACATTAAACGACTCCGAAATGAAATTAATAACCTGCTGTGGTAGGTGAGACTGCAATGATTAAGCTCTGTTTTTTATTTTATTTGTTTTCAAAAATTAAGTGGGTGCAACATCATGCCCGGCTTTGGCCTTATAATGCTTACACGACTTCCAAGGATAACACATAATCACAACTGCACACACGCACGCGCGCACACGCACACGCACACGCACACACACACACGCTTCAAATAACTCATATACGTCTGTTACTGCTATAACCAAAACACTTGTCAAGTGTTGGTGATTCTGGCAAATCCTCCTTACAATAATAGGATGTGCCCATGTAAAGCAGCGTACTACCACCAGCCGATAAACAAGAAGGAGAAGACTAAAACGAAACTCAATTACACATTATTAAATATTGATTAAATTTTGATATAGACTGTAATAGATATTTAAGGGCCGATTTTTCAATCGTCAGATAAATGTTATTCATCAAATAAATTATAACGTGACCGCATATAAAAGTGAAACTATTAAAGTATTTTATTCATACAACTGTAATTTCTAATTTGTTTATGTTGTATTTTAACCTATGAATAACTTTTACCTGATCATTGAAAAATCGGCCCTTTGTAGATTAAGACAGATTAATATTATTTAGGCGATTAATGGAATCTTAAGTGTTGATTTACTACGTGCTCAGTGGTGAAGAAAAACATCGTGTAATAACTTCCAAGTCCGAGGAATAATAAGTTAAATTAAAAATACCCCTAAAACAAAACGAGCTGATGATCTTCAAACGGCCGAACAGATTTACTTGAAACATAACTAAGAACACTCTCGATTAAAACACCTTACAAACTGAAAAACCTTAATCAAAATTGGTGCAGCTATGATGCCACAGACAGACACACAGACACAGATACACACTACAAACTTATTACACCCCTCTGATTTCGTCGGGGGTTAAAAATAAGTCGTGAAGTCCGTCAACACAGTGGAACTGAAACAGCACGGCAGATAAATTGCTCCAAAACCCTCCCAGAAATTTGAGGATAAATGGAAACTTATTCAGAAAGATTTATTTCATTTCGTTGCGTATATTTTCTGAAACGTAATAAAGTGCACAGACAAATAACAAATAAGTGCACAGACTAACCGACAGATAATTTTTTAACTACATTTTTTGTAAATATAACTTAACATATAAATGAAAAAAAAATACGCTGAATTAATAATTTGATATATCTAGTTTTCAAAACATCCTTTTTATCGATTGTCTAAATTGAGACATACTAACAATTTTATATTGCAAAATCGTCACATGCGGCGTGTTAAGAGTAGAGCACTACTACCACACACTCGCGCGTTGTGACTTGTGAGGTGTGCAATTAATATCAATTTTATTGTTTAAAGGTTAAAAATACTGAAATACCTACACAAAAAAAGGCGCTGGTTCTTCCCGGGGCAGGCTTTTTCGAACCAGGGGTAAATTAAACGAAAGAGTGACTTTCAGTATTATTTATAATCTATATAGAATAAAAACTTTTTGTATCTGTTTCTGTTACATACTTATTTTATTCTTGCCATCATTATGATTATCAGCTTGTAAACCATATAAAATAGAGAGTCATGTCTAGCAGTAGCTAATAACACAACTGTTCATGGCTCTCTCACTCATTATAGAGAACTCATATTCTTGGCCTGGCAGAAGGATTGGTAATCACAAATCCAGATTGATGTATTTACTTGATGCCACCATTTTAGATCATACATGAAGGGACATGCCTGTTTTATTTGTAGAGCATTTCCATTTGTCGATTTTAATATATACCCCCACGAGATGATAGAGAGATGGTGTGATGGATTCTCTTACGCCGCCACGATGTAGTACTCGAGTTTGATTTATGTGTATGATGTATAATTATTATTCCTGAACTATTTCATGTAAAATAAAATAATAAAATTACCTAGAACTATCTTAATTCAATACAATTTTTTCATTTTCATTTTAACATTTTAGCAGTCTGCTTGATCTTGAAATAAGTTAACATAAAACTGTTGCAAGGTAATATCTACAAACATTATTTATAACTAGCAACCTGCCCCGGCTTCGCCTAGATAGGATACATTAATGTGGAGTTATTTAGATTTAAAATAATCAGTTATATATAGATTTCTCTTTTTTTTTAATCTTCAAGTTTTTCGGATAATATATAACCTGGATCCGTCTTGTGCATTGTTCTCAATCTGTTCGTAAAGTTTCATCACATTCGGTGATTAGTAGACCGACAGACAGACAAAAAAATTAAAATGTTTATTTATGTCTTAATAGCATGCAAATAAACCCCTCATATTTCAATATTACTTTTATTATTATTATATTGGGGTATCTATAAAGTTTTCTCATCTGGTTGGGCAGTATAAATATATAATTGTAAATGAAAATGGTAAACATACATAAATATGAATAAAATAAAATAAATACATAAAAAATACATAAATATATAAAAAACCCAACCAGATGGAAGCCCTCGGCAGGGGAGACCAGACGGCCGAGGGTTAGGGGGAAAGGGAAAGAAACCGGCGGACGATGCGGGCGGTATCGAGGAGCACCGCCTTCTGCATTTGAGCCTGGAGCGGTCCGTCACGGAGTCCCAGTCGCCTCAGATGACCCGGGAGGCTGACTGGGATTAACCCGTTCGCAGAAACGACCACAGGAATAATTTCGGTCGGCAGACCACCCCACATTATTATATTTATTATTATTATTATTATTATTTATAGACTAGCTGTTCCTCGCGACTTCGCCCGCGTGTTATTTAGAGTTTTAATTTTTTTGTGCGGTACCCTAATTCTTTTTCTAAAATAAAAGTAGCCTAAGTTACTCCTTGTGACATCAGCTATCTGCCAGAGAAAATCCCATCAAAATCGGTCCAGCCGTTTCGCAGATTAGCCGGAACAAACAGACAGACGGATAGACAGACAGACAGACAAAAACTTTAAAAATTGTATTTTGTTATTAAATACCGTATATAATTTCATATGCATTTAGTAAAAAGCTGTAATTTTGACATTAAAAACAGATACTTTTATTTATTTGTATAGATATAGATAAATAATTATCGATTTGGGCCCCGAATTGAGGGGAATCTTTCCGGCTCCGAACTTTTGTACCATTAATCTTAGCATAACTTTTAGGATAGTAAGGATGTTGAAACATCTGGTTTGATCATTTATTTTATAAGTCGCTTACGCTGGTATAGTGTACACTCAACAGAGACGCGATGATTTATTGTAGCTTTCTTGAGCTGAATGTTAATTAGATAAGGCAGATAGGGTAGCAAAGGATGTATTATTTTCTTTCCTATTTCAGTATTCAGAACGGCTGTATATCAAGATGTTTGGTTCAATTTCATTTGATTTTACTTTAATTCGATTCGATTAAATCGAAACGTTAAAAATGTATCACAATCTTTATTGACAAACGATTGAGTAAATGATATGACATGCTCGTTGGCAATGGCTTATATATTTCGATATAACTATAATAACTTCAAGTTTCTCGCATTCGCTTGCGATAAAATAAACCATTGTCCTACACATTCTATACACGAACATAATATGTTCGATATTATAACACATCAAGCCTAGTTACTCTTGGTCAAGGTGTCAGTATTGGGCGCCATCAGCTGTAACGCCTAATTGACAGTTCAGTGCACGTACATTACTTTATGGGTCTACTGCTTTCCAAATTGACCAAGTAAGAAAGTGATTCGCAATTGTTATGAACATGCGGCACAAGTGCCTAAATGACGTAATTTTGTAACATTTAAAAATAAAAGAAGAAAGTAAATTAAAAATAAAAGAAGAATATAAACAGCTTTGTAATTATGTAAACTGAGACCTAAGAAGGTATTATTAAATACAGATATATTATAAGACTTAGCATATTAAATTGTTACTCTTACAAGATTTTTTATGATTTTGATCAAAAATTTTAACTACCGTAAAGTACCCGCTTGCCAAGCGTGGAACCTTTGGCAAATATCTCCCCTATGAGGAAATCTATGGTGAAGGCTTATGTTTGTTTTAACTTTAATTGGCTGCAACGGTAACGGTATAGTACCTAGACGTATGTTCTGCACAACTTCACCATATATACAAGCATTTGATAAAAAATATGAAACATCAAATAACTTTGTTATAATCCGATATAATGTTTTTATCTTACGTATTTTATAAAATATTAATATTGTCAATAGATACTTGGAAATCATATTAGCACATGTTTTCTCATATCAATAACCTCACGGAGTATCATAAATCCACCTACAGATTCGCTCCATTGACGAAAATATACGACCGCGCTTACGCTTGCCGCAATTCGACCGATGATGCAAACTTCTCGTTTTCACAAGAAATACTGGTATGTGTTGTTAAAATTTGATGAATCAGTAAAGTAATGCAGTAACAGAGAATAAAACCCAACAAATGCAAACTCCGCATTTTAATATCGATGGTTTAAAGGTGATTCTGAGTTGCAAACTACTTGCGAGTAGTATGAATTCTAGCGTAGCCACATTTGTACAACACTTCATACTGCTGGCTACTGTGAATGTGATCGACTCCATGTCTTTGGTACTGAATCCTTGCCTGCTTTATGGCACAATCCTTACATAAAGCGTGTAGTGTATAGGTTAGGATTATAAAAGAGGTAGGGTAAAACCACGAGTAACTGGCCACTTAAGCACTTTGACCAAGCCAGACTTTAATTATGTCCAAGTGAGTTATTATATTAGATTTATTGCAATGCCATACAATAATATGCACATTATTTTATATACTCGTAATTCAGGGATTCAAAAGGAAAATAAAACAATGTTTTGTATTAAATTTAAATACAATCAAAAAACTATCACTTTTGGTA